AGGGTGGGAGCTGGGCTAGCTCTGAGGTGGAAATCGCCAAGGCAGTGCACAGTTGGACCCACACTCCTGCCCGCCTGTCTGCTCTCTTCCCCAACAACATGCCGTTTCCGACTCCTCTTTCCCCACTCTTGCTGGAAAGGACTCTGATCTGCCTTTATCCCACTGTTTCCCCTCGGAGACTGCTCTTGACCCCACTCACAACCACGTAATGGTCAGCTCTGTCACTGCCTCCGGGATGCACACCCACCGCTTTCCGCCTGCCAGTCCATCGCTCCTCGCTGCTCCGGCTTGGTGCTGTGGCTGCTCCTCGCTTCTGTACCCACTACCTTGCGGATGGATGCCCAATCTCAGGACTCTCAGTGTCCCACTTCCTGCTCAGACAGGGCCTCTGACGCCGGACTCCTGTGTCTGCCATCTACTTCACTGCCATCTTCCTCGTCTCCGCCCTTCCTGTCCCTTTCAGTAAAAGCCATAGAGCCATCCTTGACTTGGACCTTTCTGTCCTTGCCCAGCACCAAACTGTCAACAGGCTCCAATGAGTCTTCCATTAAAATCCACCCAGAGCGTACGTGCTGCTCACCGCCTGCGCTAAGCCGCTGTCATCTCTCACCTGGGTCACTTGGGACATCCCCGAATCATCTTTCAGCCCCTCCCCTTGCCATCTAGCCCATAACGCCCCCTACTGATGACTCACATGGCGATGGCGATGGAATAACATCACAGGCCCACCCCCACCCCATCCCACCCTGAACTCTCGGTGTCTCGCCACAGCTTTGACCAAACAGCCTAGGCCCACCAGATGGCCTGGAAGGTGTGCACCATCTCCTGCTTCCCGTCTGGGGCCCTTGGGCCTCCCCTGTCTCCCACTGCTCTTCATGACTGACCCCAGGACACACTCCGAAGGCCCCAGCCTTAGCCTCAGAGGCTCGTCTACCTCAATCACGAGGCCCCTCCTCCTTCCAGCCTGGGCACCAGTTCCACACCCTCAGCAGGGCCTTCCCTCGTCACTGCACCTCAACTCTGCTTCCTCTGTCCCCGTCCCCAGTCCATCTTCAGCTGCTGTATAGTATCTTTGACTGCTTGTCTTCTTGCCTAGTATCTGGAAGGGCAGGTGTTTGCGCTTCGTTTATTAGTCTCAGTAATCCTGGGTCCTCAAAGAGTATTTGGCACCTAATATTGCTGGGTAAATACTTGTATATTAGTTTGCTTGGGCTGCCATAGCAAAGCCCCACGGACTGCGGGGCTGGAACAAGAGAAACGTACTGTGAATGTTTCCGAGGCCAGAGTCTGACATCCAGGTGTCAGCAGGTTGATCCCTCCCAGGGCCTTTCTCCTGGGCTGGCACACTTCTGTCTTCTGGCTGTGTCCTCCTAGGGAGTCCCCCCTTTCTTATAAGGATCCCAGTCTCACTGGACGAAGGGTCTCCCTGAGGACCCCATTTTACCTGAGCTACCTCTTTAAAGATGTTATCTCCAGGGCTAGTCCTGTTCTAAGGCACTGGGGTCAGGATTCCACTCAGGAGCTTGGGGAGGGGTCACAGTGCAGCCCTAACCTGATCAATTGGCTACTCATGTGTGGAGACGGAGGAAGGGTCAGTGTTTAGGCTCCAGGACGTGGGGGGGGACTTGGCGATGACACAGGGGGCTGGGGCAGTTGTGCTCAGGGCAGGGTCCAGGTCTGGGATGGATGAATGTCAGGGAGAAAGCCGGGGCCGCAGCTGCTCTTGGTGCTGGGGACAACACCATGGCGATAGAGAGTCTGGTCCGTGTTGGATGCCGGGACAGAGGAAGGCGCAAAGTTGGCCCCAAGGGAGAAGAGGGACATGCGTGATATAAGCGATGGCCCGGCAAACAGCAGGCAGCTGGATGCCAGCCAAAGCTCCCAAGGAAGCAACAGGCACACGCTACACTGCCAACGTGACTGTCTCCTCCACCCACCAAACAACTCTCGGAGGGGCACACTGGCACCATTGCTGCAGGCAGAAAAGGAAACTGAGGTACAGACAAGCTAAGTCCCCTGATGAGGATTACAAAGCCTAGAGGTGGAGCAGGCAGCCCCGCCCAAGGAGCTGCTCTTGGTCCTGGCCTCTCTGGCCACACGCAGAGACCTCCGATTTCTAGTTTCCCACAGATGACTCTGGGAATGGCATGGTCCCCTTGGGTGGGGGCAGAGGCCCTTGGTGACCTCATCTACACTGTGTGGGGAGTATGAATGCTAGTGGCCCAGGCCGCGGGTGGGAGGAAAGGCATTCAGGACCGAGAGGGAGGTAGAAGTAGGCTGGTGTCTTGCAGCCAGAAGCTCTGGTACAGGTGAGAGAGGAGGGCGAGAGCCATGCGCCCTCCCTTCGTGCACACCGGAAGCGATCCCCTCTCTCCTAGGCAGTTGTGTGCACCGGCTCCATGGTTGTTGAGAGCAGGTGTGAACCTGCTGCAGGCCTAGGAGGCTCAGGTTAGTGCACCGAGAGAGAGCACAGTCTATGCGCCAAGCAGGCTTTCCTTTGGTGCCCAGAGGGGCCTGTTATTGTCCCCAGGTGGTTTCTTTCTCTGTGGTACCTGTGGCTCAGGCCGCCAGCCGTGGCCCTCCGGGGCTTCAATGGCAAGGACTGGAGGACTGCAGAGTTGTCAGGCAAGGCTGTGGTGTGGACTAGGGATAGGAAGCCAGCCAGGGGTCACTGTGAGAAGGGAGAGGAGACGGAAGGGTGGGGCGGGGCTGAGCAGGGGGCCCTGCCCAGGCAGTGCTGGGAGCTGCAGCGGGCGGGACACCCCGGGGTGCCGAGGCCAGGTGGGGTTTGTCTGCCCGGGATGGGATGGGGGTGGGGCCAGCTCTAGGACTTTCTCAGGGTCATTCCCATTAAACGCACCACAGGGCGCGCCGGGGTCTGTGCTAAGCAGAGAACCCTGTTAGCAAGGAGCGCCAGCCCCTCTTCAGAGGTTGGACCAGAACGAGGACCTGAGCCCCCTCGGAGCCAGCTTGGCCCGTTCTGTGGTTTTTGTCTGTGTTGCGCTTCCTGGAGTGTCACCTGTGCTCCCCGCGTGTTGTCCTGCCGCTCGGCCTGCGGAGGGGCCCCAGAAGATCCCTTCCTTCCGCTCCCCTTCCTGTGCCTTCAGCTTGCCCAAGACCATTTCCTCCTCCGTCTGGCCGCAGCCTTGCGAGGACGAAGGCTTCTCCCCATTTCTCAGATTTTCCCGGGGGAAGCTGCGGTCCCCCGGCAGGGTGGGGAGAGGGGTACGCGAAAAAGCCAAGGTCACCCAGTCATTGGCAGAACGGGGCCTGGACTCGGCCCTTCTCGGCGGGCCTGGCGGGGCCGGGGAAGGCGGGCTGGCTGCTAGCTCGAGCCTCTCTCCGGGAGGGAGGCGGCACCGGGAGCCAGGCCGGCGGGCATGGCAGGTGAGCGGGGATGGGGGGGGACCGGGGCGGGGGCTGGGCTGAGCGGGGCCGCCTGGCGCTCGGGCCTTGGGCGCGGCTGCCCAAACTCGCCGGGTCCTGCGAGGGCCGTCGCCCTGGGTCACGGCCGGCGGGGAGAGGTGGCCGAGGGTCCCCAGCGAGTCCCGGGCCCGCCGGCCAGGCCCCGCCCCCGGGCGCCACGGGCGGGGGCAGGGGCGGCGCCGGCGGAGTGGGGCGCGGGCGCGCGGTGCTCTGTGCGCGCCGCCAGCCCTCCCTCCCTAACCCCTGGGCCGGCCCGTCGCCCCCACCCCTCCTTCCTCTCCTGGCCCGGCGGCCTGGTGCGCGGTGCAGCGCGACCATCGCGGCCTGGCGAGCAGGGGACGGCGGTCGTGGCGCTCGAGGGTGGCGCGCGAGGCCAGACCTGGCTCACCGGGGTGTGGGGGGCGGGACCGGCGGAGCCCCCAGAGGAGAGCGGGGCCAGGCAGGGGGGCGCCGAGGTAATGGGCAGGGCCTGGGCGCCTGGCTGCGAGGGGCGGGGGCCCCAGGCGCACTTTGGCCCTGGCCAGGAGGGCCACCAGGCGCCTGGGGAGGCGGGAGGGCAGCTGGGCGGGGAGGACGGCGGGCGGGGCGGGCCGGGCAGGGCCGGGGGCTTGGCCGACGGGGAGCAGGTGGGCGGGGACAGGGGCCCTGTGGGAAGAGGCGCAGCTGCGAGGTGGCGGGCTGCGTGCGCAAACAGGGCGGCCGCCTCCTGGGCCCGGAGAACGGTGAGGCCCTTTGGGTTGGGCGGCCCGGCCCCCCGAGGGCACGGCTTGGTGTCCAAGGCCACCGAGCTGGGCGTGAGGCACTGCTGGGGAGGGGGAATCTGAAGGCTCTGCCAGCCCAGGCATTTGGGGTCCTGAGCAGACCTGGGAGAAGAGTGTGGCTGGGCCAGAAGCAGGAGTTGCTGGCCAGGGCGCTGGTGTTGGGCGAAGGACAGGCACTTTCAGGGTTCGCATGAATGGAAGGGGACAAGGGGCCCCAGAGTTTGAGTTTGAGCATAATTTGGGAGTTGCCTTGTCACAGGGTGGGTCGATGAGTCATGAGATTTGGAGAGCACCGAACCCTTTCCTGGCGATGAGTTCTGAGTGATGGAAGTAAAAAGCGCTGGGATTTGGAGAAGTGGTTTGGAGGCCATGTCTGGGGACACCAGGTGCTCTGGTGGCCACCAGTCCCCGTGTGAGGGACTTCGGGAGCTGGGTCCCACAGTGATGTGATTCAGAGGCTTCCTCCCTGGGTGGGGTTCAGGGAGGTCCCCGTGGTGGCTGTCCCGTGTCCCCCTTCCCCGCCATCCTGTGGGGATTCAGCTGTGCTCCCGTGGGAAGGGGGTTAAAAATTCTTCCAGCTTCCAGCAGCTTTCCAGCACCCACCAGGGGCAGGAGGGACATATACATGCGTGACTGCAGCAGCATTCTCTGTTGTGGAGCCCTCGCTTCCTCACTGTTGCCATAGTAACTGCCTAATGATGGAGTATTTATAGGGGAAAGAAGCAGGCGCTAAATTTTGGGGAGGGGGAAAAGGCCTCATGGCAGGCTGCGGCAGCAGTGATGATGGCTACAGAATCACTAATGGAGTGGGCGATGCTATGCGAGCTGTTTTGGGGAGATCCTGGCTTCTTTGGAGCTGAAAAATGAACCACTGACTTTTGCAGGTGCCAGGATCATACACATTTGGGGCTGTTTGGAATTGTTTTCACGTAAAAAATTAAAACCCTGCAGTTCTCTTTGGTAGACAACGAAACATTTTCTTTCTTCCCTTATTAGTGAAGCCTCCACTCATTCTTCTCACACCATGATGTGACACAGGCTCCATTTTCCTTCAACCAAAGCATGGTGCCACTGGGCCCTCCTCCTCCATACCCTCACCACCCACCTCATCGGAGATTCACAAGGGAAGGAGAACTCATCAAGGGCCATTCCTCTCACAGTGGAACCCCCATCCTTGGCAGATTTCACATTCCCATGTTGAGAGTTTTTGATAGGATTGTTGTAGGGTTCAAAAGAGGATGCCTCCCGACTTGGGAGGCCAGATGGATGGGACATTCGCAGTTTACCCTTTCGTTTTCAGTGATCCATCATATCCTACCTGTTTGCCAAGAAGATTAGAGGCCGTGTTACAAATGCACAGTGAGGGTCTGGAAACATAAATAGAAGACTGTGTACCTAGTCATAGGAGAGAAGCATCTCTGCCCAACAGCTGGGCTTGCAGGGTGCCTGTGGTTGAAAGTTCGTGTCAGTACCAAACTCCCTGGCAGCCTGGGCAAAAAGGGCAGCCTCATGGGTTGCACAGCTCCTATGTCTTGTATACTGGTAGTGCTAAAACACGAGCTTCTGCCTGGGAGGAGAGCAGCGGTGATTGCTCCCAGATGTGGCTGGCTCGGCCAGCTTTCCAGAACATGTGTAGGAGTGGGAGTGTGTTTTGCACAGAAGCAGAGGAAGTGGTGCACTGTGCCCAGGGCTCGAATCGTGAGCAGACAGGGATTTTGTGGGAGGAAAGGCCTTGGGACAGTAGCCAGTTAGCATCTCAGGGTGTGTGACTGGGGAGCTAACCCAGGGCCTCACGTGTGCTAGGCAAGAGTTCTAGCATGAGCTGCATCTCCTGCCCTGATCACTGAAATCTGAATCTTGGCACTCTGCAATGGTGGTCTCTAGTACAGAGAGGAGCCCACAGGGTGGAGATGAACCTGTCAGGTCACATGGATCTGGCTGCTGTCGCACATAGAGGCTCGGACCCTGAAGAACAGGTGGCCTCTGAAGGTCATTGCAGGCCAGTCCCAGATGGGCCCAGACATTTGAGATGGTTGTTGTTGTTGCCGTACATTTGGTTTTCAAGGAACGTACTTGCCATTGGACGGAGGTGGAGTTGCCGTTGTGATCCATTCACGTTTTGCCTCTGTCACAGCTCATTTGCTGACCTTGCCTCCTCCCACCACCCCCACTCCACATCTCTGGCCTTCATTTTCTCATCTGTCTCTGAGATCTGTTCTGATTCACAGGCACAGGGATCTCTAGAGGGGAGTGAGGAAGGAGCCTCCTCCCATAGGAGTTTTCCTTTCTTAAAGAAAAGGTCAACCCTTGGGTTTTCTGGGAGCTCAGGTGTACTCTTGGGGGAAACAGTGGAAGGCTTGCTGTGGGCTCTGCTGGGCAGTGGGGAGCTCTGCAGAGGAGCTGAGGGGGAGACTGAGAAGCAGCAGCAGCAACAGCTATGAGTGGCTGCATAGAGGTGCTTCATCTCTCGGGGTGCTGCTTTGACCTTTTGACCAGGTCTGGGGGTTGCAGTCTAGGGTGAAGATGGTGCTGTGTAGATTTCTGGTTGGGATTTCGACCACAACTCTGCTTCTCCCCGTCCAGGCAAGTGAGACTCCGGAGCTGAGTGAGGGAGCACCATGGCAGGTAAGTTTCCAGTCCGAGCATGGCAAAGGTGCACATCCCTCTTTTGAGTCCTTCCTAGATTTCCTCTCAGGGAGCCCATGGCCATTGTCTAATGTTGGGCAGCAGCCTCGGCTCACCCTCAGGCTCCCACTGGAGCAGCTGTCCCCTGGGGATATGCTCCTGCCAGGCTCTGTAGGCACACCAATGTGGCAGGCCACGGGGCATGGGAAGGGCATGGCCAACACCAGCCTGGGCACTGTGTGACATCCTACCTGTGGGTGAATACCAGGAGCAAAATCATCTCTTCCTCTATCCTCTGAAGCTTCGGCTCCATCCATGTCATGCTGTCTGCCCAGTAGAGTGGGGTTTGTCCCTTTGACCAGTGGTGCTACCCTGAGAGCTTTGCAAGAGAGTCTGGCCCAATCTTCAGTGCTCAGACTCTCCATGTAGACCCTCCCAGGAGCATGTGCCTCCAGTCTCTCAGACCACTGATGCTAGCCGATGTGATGGAAAAGGGGCCTGGTCAGGTGGCTGGCTGCTGCCCTCGAGGGGTCCTGTGGTCTTATCTGGTGTTAGTCCCACAGCATCAGCCCCAGAGAGGGGCTCCGATTGCCCCTTTGAAGTGCAGAAGAACCTGGGTATTTATTCACTGACAACTACTATGCTCAGTGCTCCGACTCTCTCTCGTCCCTGTGCAATGTGGTCTTCTCTCTTAGCCGGCTCCCATTTTCCCTGTATTAGCCAGGGCCTGATCCCTGCTGGGCCCCCGTGTTCCATGGTGTCATGGAAAGTCAGGCTTCTGTCCCTTTTCTGCCCTGTCCCTCGGGTTGAAGCCTGGTGGTGTGCCGGCTTGTTGTGCCTGGTTTCCCTCCGTGGCTGGGCCTAGGTCTCTGACTCAGCCTGGGCTGAGGGAGGCTCTGGGCACCTCCACACTCCGGGCCTGCCTGGGGCTCTCTCCTCAGTGTTTCTGGAGGCCAAGAATGCCCATTCTGTGCTGAAACGCTTCCCGCGGGCCAATGAGTTCCTGGAGGAGCTGCGCCAGGGCACCATTGAGCGCGAGTGCATGGAGGAGATCTGCAGCTATGAGGAGGTCAAGGAGGTGTTTGAAAACAAGGAGAAAACGGCATGTACCACCCGAGGCTGGGTCTGGGGAGGAGAAGTAGCGTTAGGAGCTGCCCTCTGGGACCAGAAGTGAACGAGGTTCCAGTGCTTGCCTTTGGGGACCTTCTCACGTGGGAGTGTTGTGCTTTGTCCTGGGTGCTTTGCACAGCCACTCTGAGAGCTCTGCGAGGCTGGTGGAGTGGTGGGTGGGACGGCAAAAGCCTCCTGGGTCCCTGTGAAGCAAGTAAGAGTGTCTGCCCTGCAGCATCCTGTCATGTCCATTCACCCTCTTCTGCACATGTGAGCCGCCCTCCTCTTTTGCAGATGGAGTTCTGGAAGGGGTACCCGAATGCTGTCTACTCCGTCCGAGACCCTTCGCAAAGCTCTGATGCCATGTACGTGGTCGTGCCCCTTCTGGGGGTAGCACTGCTGATTGTCATCGTCCTGTTCATCATTTGGAGGTGCCAGCTGCAGAAAGCAACACGCCACCACCCCTCCTATGCTCAGAACCGGTACCTAGCCAGTCGTGCCGGGCACAGCCTGCCCCGGGTCATGGTGTACCGGGGCACTGTGCACAGCCAGGGGGAGTCCTCCGGGCACCGGGAGGCGGGGGGCACCCCGCAGGTGGTTCTGGGGCCCAGCCGGGGGAGCAGAGCCACGGTCCGGCTGGAGAGCACCCTCTACCTCCCGGAGCTCTCTCTCACCAGACTGTCCAGTGCCACTCCTCCTCCGTCCTATGAGGAGGTGACTGCGCCCCAGGAAGGTAGCAGTGAGGAGGCCAGTGTCTCATACAGTGACCCGCCCCCGAAGTATGAGGAGATAGTGGCTGCCAGCCCCGGTGAAGACAAGTAGGGAGGCCGTGTACTGGCCTGGAGGGAGGCCTCTTTCAGAGGCTTCCAGCTTACGTTGGAACTTTGGAAAGACTTTGCCACCACAAAACAGCCTTAGCCTCCTTGTTGCCAAATAATTCTCTAACCGTGGATTTTTAGGAAGCCAGCTGTCAGAGACAGGTAGGGTGGGCGGGCATATGGAAAGTGCGTGAGGCAAAGCCCCTGGGAAGAGCTATGGATTCCAGATCCCGGCTCTTCTGGAAGCCTCCCCCACCCCCACCCCCTTGTCCTGTCCTCCCGTCCAGGACTGACTTCTCTTATGCCAAAGGAATCACCCCAGTGTGTTGATTGTGGCCAGAATGTGCCCAGGCTCTGCCACCTGGGCCTTGGGGTGGGGGCCTGACTGTGCCTGAGGCGGTAGGGAGAGAGGAGAGGGAGAGAAGCCAGCTCTGCAGCTCCCCTTTCCTCCTCCGCAATCCTGTGCTTCCTGTCCTCCACTTTCGAGGACAGGGGCAAGGACTGAACAACAAAGAAACCAAGTAATAACAAAGAACGAATAGTGAATACCACAGAACCAAACAGTGCTGCTAGGCCGTGCGTGGGTAGGAAACCGGGGAAATCAATTGCGCAGATCTGTGACAGGCTCCTCCCCCTGCACCCACCCTCGCTCCTGACCAGGCCCGCAGCAACCTGGCTGGAGGACAGGGTGCGTGAAGGGTGCGGGGCAGGGGGCTGGGTGGCAGAGTTCCTTCCTTCATAGTCACCAAGGGGCCCTCATGGACTTTGCCGCCCTGTTTTTGGTGTGCCTGCCCCCCAGACCTGTGCACCTGCTGCGCCAGAACCACTGCCTGCTGGCACGAGCCCACTGGAAGCCCCGGAAAGCTTTGTCCGGGGAAAGCGGAAGCTCCGACCCTGCCGGGAGCCCACGGCCCCTGAGTAGTCAGGGCACAGGCTGGGACAGTGAACTTCTCCGTGTGTGGTTGCTCCCCCCCATTGGCCAGTTATCCTGAGCCTGGTCTCCTCAGCACCGAGCTCTCTGGCTTTGAGCTTTTAGGATACTTCCCTTTTTGTGCATGGGTGTGTGGGACTTGAACTTCATAGTAACGATGGTGCCACGTGAGCAGGAGAGCCTAAAGTGTCTCTTTTTAAACATCTCTCTGTGGGGGAGCCATGAGCCCGGGTGGAAGGTCTGTCCAGGCTTTGCTCTGCCATGGCCAGGAGCTGGTCTGATTTCAGTGAGACTTGCGACAGCAGTTGGGCAGGGGTGACCTGCCCTGTAACTGTCATTGATCAGTAAAAGACATTGTTGATACCATCTCTCCCCTCCCCCATCTCTATCCTCCTGGCCTGGCCTCGCCTTGGTGCCAAATCAGTTTTCCTCTGTGGTGCTTTCAAAAAATGTAGCAACCTTTTGTGCGACCCAGAAGAGTGCAGAGCGTGGGTGCATAGGCAGCCACAGCAGTTTAGAAGCCATTGAGTGGACAAGCTTCCTGTCCAAATGGCTCTCCAAGGCAGTCACTGGGCTCATTCCTTGAATGCAGCCCTTTCTGAGGCCACAGATAACTTCTGGAGGCCGCTGGAGACCTGGGGACTGCCCCCAGGCTGTGTTTCTGGTCTGGGGGCCTGTGTCCTACCCTGCTTGGATAACTGGATTCTGCCATGAGGGTTTCCGTCCTTCCCCCTACCTCACAGGCCCACCGGAGGTTGACTGGGCTGCTGCTTGTGAAGTGCTTGGAGCCCCGGGGAGCCAGTGAGGTTTGCCCTTGGAAAGATGCTTCTAGAAATGTGCAGGTTCCAAGGGGGCCATTTTGAGTGAGGGCCCCATCTGCCTCTGATGTGGGGTCTCAGCCCAAGAGGAGTCAAACTCCTGCCTGACCCTTTCTATGCCCTCCAGCCCTTCCTGAGTTCTGTGATGCCAGAGATGCCGACCAGGTGGCATTCCACCTTTCCTTCCTTCTTTTTGCCCAGTCCTGGGCCTCTGGCACTGCACTTCTGCCCTTCCTCAGGAGGGGATTTTTGGTCTAGAAGGTCTCTGTTTTTTCCATGATGGAGCCTGGGCCCAATCCCATTCGGCCATGTTGGAGGACCTCAGAAGGAAAGCCAGAAGCTTGGGGCCAGCCCCAGTTCTCCCAGTATTTTCTCAAGCAGGGACCTAAGTGTGACCTGCAGGACCTGAGCAAAGGCCTCTCCTCCTGCCCCTGACCAGAGCCAGAGGGAGTGTGCCAGGAAGGCCAGCACCTTAGGCATCTGCCCAGTGGCCTGAGGCTGGGCCCTGGGAGAGCCTAGGAAGTGGAGCCCGGGGACTGGCCCCAGGGCGGCGTGCTTCCCTTGGCCCGAGGGCTGGCTGCAGGGAGAGCCTAAGGCTGCTCCTTGTGGCCTGCGGCCTAGGCTCTGGCACTCTGAGGAGCTCTTCCTGGAGGACTGTGCAGAGCTCCAAACCGTGCACACTTGGCTTTTATGAATGCCCTGTACAGAGCTTTTCAAGCTGTCTTTGTATGAATGTTGATTTGATATGATGCTAACACTACAGTTGCCACATTTTGGTTGTTTTGGGACTTGTGTGTGTACGTGTGTATATGTGTACACATGTGTGCACGTCGCCTTTTCTCATTGCTTCTCTGAAACAATAGCCAGTGTGCGGCTATATTTATACCAGGAGGATCCAGTCTGAGGGGAGAAATGTTGCCTCCTGGGCTGGGCAGCCTCATGACAGGGCCCTGAGTGAGGAAAGCTGAGACTAGCTGTCAAAACCCCCCAAGGTCGCTGCCTTCTGTCCTCCCTCAAAAGGTTTGAGAAGAAGATGAAGCAGCGTCACCCTGGGGGACCCAACATGCCCCTTTGTTTGGCACGATGCTCCCTCCTCCTCACTCCTGTTATGCGGCCCTCAGTAGCTGAGGGAACTCTGACCACTCCTGGACTCTCTCTCTCTCTCTCTCTCTCTCTCTCTCTCTCTCTCTCCCCCTTTCTTGCCTTTCTTTCACAGAAAGATCTGAGACTATTGACTTGGGAGTGGTGGGCTAGTTAGGTATTTTTTCAATTAAAAAGAAGAAAAGTCTTTAAAAAATTCACTGAAATAGAACTGTCACTTGTTTTCAACCAAAAATTTTTAAGACTTTTTAAAAACCAGAGTCACAATCCTGTCCCTTCCCCACGGCCACCACCTAGGGCTTCCCAAGTGAAAGCACAAGAGTAAGAGCGGGGTGCCCAACACGGCTGCCTCGAGCCCTGGCTGAGGAGTCCCACCCCACCGGGAGGCCGAGGGCCCCACTTCTACTTGCCAATCCACTGCCATTAGTGTGAATTCCTTAGGGTGCTTAGAAAATGGGAGTCTGCCTGTTGTGCTGGACAATGTCTTTTTGGTACCCAAATATGAGGAATTTGGGACAGGAAAGTGTCTTTTTTGTTGAGCAGTTGGAGCCAGCTGCTTCCCCACTCCCAGTGGGTGGAGACTCCCAGTCCCCAGGCAGAGTTGATCTGACACCCAGAAGGCATCCCAGGAGAAAGAAAACATCAACACTGCCTCTAGATTGCTTTGTCCAAGTGAGAGCAAGGTGAAGGAGAGAGGATCTGTCTCTCTAGCACAAGGCTGAGGCTGCTGGGCTTCGTGCACCTTGCTAAGGCATGAAACTCCGTTTCGGAACTTTGCCAATTCAGAAACAAGCACATCCTCCCCACTGACGTCTGCTAATACTAATCAGTATAATTAGTTAATTTAAAAAGTGCTGTAATCACACTGCTTGGAATGACAGTAAAAGCCCATTAATCTGAAACCCACTAATTCAAAACTTGGGGAAAAAACTATAATTTCAAATACTTCAATAGTAGCTACGATCCTTAGGACATAATACTGGAAAGATTCTCCCCTTGGATCCATTTTCAGGGTCTTCTGTGTAAGAGGAATCTGGTTTAAAAGGAGTACTTTTTTCAAAGGAAAAGCTCAAGGTATTAAGGATCCCTCCATGTGCCTTGTGCCTTGGGGCGTGGCAGTTCTCATCTGCAAGGCCCGTGGGCAGGGCAACCCCTTGTTTTCCCTCCACCTTGGGGAGTTAGGGTAGTGCAGTCTTTTCCTCCACTCCTGTATTTATCCTACGAGAATAATATTGTTCGTGAACTTGAGTGCAATTGAAACACAAGCACGTGTCTTTTGAAATATTCTGTAAAGCAAGTGTTGCACTAGCAGACTGGCTGCTCTTGTCATCCGCCCTCAAATATTCAAACTTTAGGAGTTTTTCCTTTCACAGGCTGTGGGTGGGGAGTCTCTCTCTCTAGCAAGAATTTCTCTGACAAAGACATGGGAACAGCACACCCACCCTGGCTCAAGGCCACAACAGTTGTTCCACTGTGCTGTTGTCTGAGCGGGTCCCACCCCCAGCTGTGCTTCTGCCTCCCAGCCAGTCTCCTCCTTGCTCAGATGCCACTTCCCCAGGCCTGAACACACCCGCCCGCTAGCTCACTGTGACTGTGTATTTGTGACAGTGCAAACCCTGCTGTGTGCAACTGAGCTTATAGAAATGATCACCGTGAAGTGGACTCATTTTGGCACCACTTTCTGCAGTGCCCGTCTTCATGTGTTGACCCATGTCAGCTGGAAATCTGTCCTTTCAGTAATATGTCAGGGTTTCACTGGAGCCTGGGGCCAGCCAACGAGCCTGCTTCTGATCTCTTGCTCTCTGCTCCCTGTTTACAATTGTTGAGTTTAGCTGTTAAATTTTGTCTCTTTCTGTACCAGAAGATAATGAATAATAATAAAGAGCAAATGGCATCCCTTCGCACTCTGTCCTGGTCTATCTTGCATCCCCTGAAACCTGGTTTTGCAAAAATCAGACTGTAGATAAGGAAATAACCCAAGCTAGTTGAGGAGCAGGAAGTGGAGTTGTCCTGGGCCTTGACGTTTGTCACATGGAGTGTAAGAAGATCTGACCCCTCTCCCTGAGCTGAGGTGAGTAAGAGGTGTCAAGATCTGGGTTAGCAACTTCCATGTCATCTGATCCCTGGTTACTAGTGGAGGTGTCCCTTGCCCTAAGGATGCCCTGCTTGGCTTCGGAGCTGGAGGAAGGGTAGAGAGAGAAGTCCATCCATGCCCTGTGTGGATGGGACACGGTATTCCCTGAGTTCTACAGCTGGCAAGGCTCAGAGACTGTTCGGAAGGCAGTCGTGGCCTTGCCCCCACATGGAAGGGCTGTGAGCCTGGGATGAAGGTGCCCAGCTTTCTCTGCAGTGACGTGAGCCACGAGACTCTCTAGTCCAAGGTGTGCCAGCCCTCAGTAATGAAAGTTATTGGAGATTGTTCTTCCCCCTCCTCTTCTCTCTCTCTTCCTCCTCCTCTTTTTCCTCCTTCTCCTTGCAGTTCTGGGGATTCAGGGACTCTCATGTGCTAAGAAGCACTGGGACAGTAATAAAAGCAAGCCGTCCTTTAATGGGGTGAGTCCTGGCAGTGATGGGATGATGCTGGTATTTGGGATGTCGTAGAGAATGACATGTGGAAGCTAAACACCACGGGCCTTGTGTTTCATGCTTGTCCTAGCTAGGCTGGCGTAGTTGAGTGATGCCACCCTCCTGGGGATGCTGGACCACAAATGAACGCTCTGCAAGTAGACCCTGGCACACAGGCGGGCCCTGGTTTGGAATTTGGGTTTTGACCCTCAGGCTTTTACCTGACGTAAGTGTTTTACACAGTGCCTTAGGGATCTGGGCTGGTCCAGGCAATAAAGTTAATATATGATGAGGCCTCTTGTTTCCAAGTCTCCCTGGGGACACCATGGAGGGCCTGGGCTTCCCTTTCTTGTTGGGCCAAGGCACTTGAATTGCTTGTGGAAGGTGACAGGTCAGGGACAGAAACTTAATGAAATGATGGTGGGGGAAGAGAGTCTTTTACCTGTTCCCTGGCCCTCATCCTGAAGGCTGGGCAATGCAAGGGGAAGATGCATGAGTTGAACTTATAAGGATCATAGGCAGCACTTACTGAGCACTTAGTTCGTGCCAGGGTCTCCCAAGGGACCTTCGATGTGTGCCTTATAACCAGCTCCCTTTAACAGCCCAAGGAAACAGGTTCAAAGAGAGCCTGTCCCTGGGCCCAGGGCACACAGGGAGTAGATGCCAATGCTGTCTCATGAATGCAGGCCTGCCCTGATTGTCCCACCTCAAGTTACGCAGGGCACTGTGGTCTCCTGCACAGAAAGGTCACCTTGCTTTTGTTTCTGTACTGACCGTGCATCCCTCCAGCAGCCCTGCATCTCCCCGCCCAGTGGCTGTTAATTCCGGAAGAGCAGGAACAGTGTCTGACTTCTCTCATCACTGCTGCCCTGGAACACAGCGCGGTGCCTGGCTCATGGTAAGAGTGCTGTTTTTAAGTGTGTTGACCAATTGTATTCTCCGATGAGAGCCCAAGCTACCTGTTAGTTCATCAGGGCTGCTGTAATAAAACGCCATAGTCTGGTGTCTTAAACAGGAACTTAACTTCCTCGGTTCTGGAGGTTGGGAGTCTGAGATCAGAGTGTCTGCAGGTTTGGTTCCTTCTAAGGCCCTTCTCACTGGCTTGTAGGTGGTCGTCTTCTCTCTGTGCCTATCTGGGTCCTGGTCTCTTCTTTTTATTTTTATTTTATTTTTTTTTTCCATTTTAAGTTTTTTTTTTACCTTCTCTTTAATGACTTTAACAGAAAAAAACTGCATGATGAAATATATTTTCTCCAAATATATATATATATTTATATAATATATAATCTTAGTTAACTCAATTGTGTAATAAATAATATTTATAAAAAGACTTTTTGAATATAAAATCAAAAAGAACAACTTCTACAACTTTTTACAAAACTTTGGATACAGCAGGTTGATAGGAAATTTCCATTGGATACTATTACCTGACTATGGCAGTGAGAATAATTACAATGCACTCATGTACTATTATTAAATAATTACTTGTCAGCTACTTGAATACACCCCAGAAACATGACTTTATCACTTTTAATATAGAATACATAGATATGAAAAGACTTAAAAATTTGTATCCATTCTGCTGAGGTATTCTCACACAAACCAAGCATTATCCCGTTGACATGATTTAAAACTGTTCAGTCTACAGTGAGATGGGGAGGACATGTCAGACTCTGTGGAGGGGCAGGGATATTTATCTTTAGCAGTACTCCTGGTCATCAGGTTCGAGAGTGGGGGCAGCTCCTGGATGACCGTCCTGTAAAACCCGGAGATTGCTGACCCAGTATCTTAGGTCATGGTTAGGTAGACCCCAGACAGATATGCCAGTGTCTTCAAGAGTTCCACCCAACCTATCCTCCAGCAGGCTCAGTGTTTCTGTTTTCACATTCAGATCCCCAATCCATTTCGATCCTAGTCTAGTGCTTGGTGATAGGCATGGGTCTAGTTCCAATCCTTGGCAGGCCGAAATCTGGTCCTTCTAACTTGGTCTCTTCTTTTTATAAGGACACCAATCACACTGGATTGGGGCCCCTTTAAAGATTTTTATCTCCAAATACAGTTGCATGATGAGGAACTTCATTTCAACAGACAAATTTGGGGGGTGCAGAATTCAGCCCAGACAAGCCCACTCACGGCAGTGGCGGGTCTCTGTTGCTCCTCCTGACCTGAGCACATTACACCCACTGGGAAAAGTGAGCAGGGTAGATGTCATGTCTTCTCTGAGTTGCTCCTTCTCCCAGGCTGGGCACATCATTCACACTGGGGATAGTGGGAGGGGCAGGCATCGTGGCTTCTCTGAGATTCAGGCAAAGACAGGCCCTGGATCAGCTTCTCCCTTGGTGCCTCTGAAGGATGTGGGACAATGCCGACGATCCTCACAGGGCCAGTGGGGTTGGGAGTGGAGACGTGAGCTTCAGAATGGTTTCGCAGGATCCCTCTGTGGAAAGTGACCTGAGAACCCAACACCTGAAGGGTGCACAGAATGCTTGCACCCTCAGAGCGTTTTTATGGATAAAACATGCTGTTTTCAGGAATCCTAAGACTGGCAGCTCCAATAACAGTGACTTTCAACAATTTCTCTGGAGAGCTCAAACTGTGTGATTGATGCATTTTCACTGGGACTGGTGTGCTGTAAAAATAGTCCGGGTAACATTTCGTGTCAGGTGAGTTGCACTGAATCACAGGAGCCCAGCGGGTGGGCCATCAAGGCTGGTTTCCCAGGGCTCTGCGGCTGACAGGGCACACGGGAGCGGGTGACTGCAGAGAGGGCAGGAAACAGGCCACAGCAGGGGCATACAGTGAACTTGACCTTATGGGAAGACCCGTGTGACCGACTGTGGAGGCTTCTGGAGAATGCCTTCCTGGGAGAGGGTCACAGAGGCATGGGGAGGCCGAGTGACTCACCTGAGGTCACACAGCTCATAAATGAGGATCTATGAGTCAGAACTAACAGCTGGGAATGGCAGGCATCAGGGCGGAGGCTGTGATACACCCCGGTCTCCTCTCCCGGAAGTGCACAGACTTGCCCTGCGCTTGTCTGAGAAGGCGTGCAGCTCCTGGGGCCCCTCCTCTCCGCCAGCTCAGGCGCAGCCGCTGCCCCCTCCTCAAAGTCAGGCAGGGTCTGAGGCTGCACTGAGCTTGCTGCCCTTGGGCTCCCGTGCTCCCAGTTCTTGCACACACATCACCTGTCACTCACTGGGCATGGACACGCGCTTTCCGTCTGCGGAGTCGCCGGGGGGGGGGGCTGGGGCTGAGGGCTCACAAGTGATCAGGAAAGAGGCTCCAAGGCCCCTGGACACAGAGGCACGGCTGTCCTGTTCTCTCCGAGGGGCACCGCATGCTGGGCCGCTGTCTGACAGATAGACAGGGGCTGAACCCCACTGGGCCTCGATCTGCTGCCAGTGTTTTCAGGAAAGGCTTCTCCGGCAGCAGCCAAGGAAAGAGGAGAAAGAGCCGGGAGCAGGAAGTGACAGCTACTGGCTACATCTGCAGGTGAGCCTCCCCTCTCCTGGCTCCATTAGTTTTTAAGGGTTTTTGATTTTATTGTATTAGTTTAAAATTATTCATATAAGTTTGTGAAACCTAACAACTACATTTGTTTTGGGGACCTGGTACATATGCATATCACATCCTGATCACTTTTACTCCCCTCTGCCTCCCTCCCTCCATCTCTTTCATCAGATCCCCTTCCTGTCTTCACAGATCCCGCCTTCCTGTTTCCTATCATCTTCCTTTTATTTTGCTCTTTATTTATATTTGAGTTTCTCATATAAGAGAAACCTTGTGGTATGTAAGCGCGTGTGTCTGATTTAGTTCACTTAGCATGATGCTCTCAAAGTGTGTCCATTTTACTATGAATGACTCAAGTTTACCCTTTTTTATGGCAGAGTAGTACTCCATTGGGTATAGACGCGCATTTTCTTTATCTACTCATCTGTTGATGGACATCTAGGCTGCTCCCATAATTTTGGCTTTGAACTTTTAGGTGCTGCTCTCTGCCCTGCAGGCAGGGCAGTCTTGAGTTACCCCTGGGGCAACCAGTCAGCAAAAATTGCCCTTTCCCTGGCAGGTTCCCCCACCGGGAGCCACAGTACTAGGCCCTCAGGGCCAGAGGTCACCTGGCTTGACCTCAGGGTGCCACGGTTCCTACAGTTTGATCCCATGGCCCTCTGTCTGTCCTCTGTGCCCAGGGCTCTAGGGATGATGTCCAGACCAGCTGCTTCACACCCAGTGGCTTTGGGATTTTTCTTCAAGACCCATGGTTTGAACAACGTCTGGCTTGGAACCCCACTAGCAGAAAGTAGTTAGAGAAGAATGCTCTGCATGAAGAGAGGTGAGGGTGTCCTGCCCTAGCCTCCCACTGCTGCTGGCGGGAGAGGTGGGAATGGGGAGCAGATTGCCCGGATTCTGGGCTGGGGAGGCATTGTTGAGGGCAGGTGATGGGCAGGCTGAGGTCAGGCAGAGAGAGCTGGACACGGGGCGGTGTTGAGCTGGACGCCTGGGGGCTGAGTGCCCTGTAGGTTTCAAGCGAAACTGGCATGCCATTAGCCGGATTTGTTTACTCCCAGGGGAGGCTGAGTACTCAAGACCACCTTAGGGGAAAGGCTGATCTGTTTCTTTAGGGTGTGCTTGGCTTGAAGGGAGGGAGAGTTCTCTCTCACTCCCATCCCTTTGTGTTAATAAAACAGCTCTTATTTTAATAAAGATCCGAGCCCTGCAGCAGGCAGTTCACAGAGAAGGAATACAGAAGATCAGTAAACAAATAAAAAATCAGGCAGGTTTATTCATAATTAAAGTAATATAAATTAAAGCAATAATGAGATAGATATCACTTTTCACCTTACAAAGCTCCATGATATCTTCTGTTGATAGGACTGAGAAGAAGCAAGCATTTTCTTCCTTGACAATATCGGTCAGTGCAACTCAGAGTCATCAGCACACGTGTCCTGGAAATGCACAACTCCACTTCTAAGCACCTTCTCTACAAACACTTTTGCATGTGTGTGCCAAGAGTATATCCAGGAGCACTCATGCTATGTTGCTTATAGAAGTTGAAAGCTCTAGCACTCAAAATGTCCCTGAGCAGGTCAATAAAAGGTGGGCTGGGTTTAAAGGAAATCTGATCTCTCAGTACTGCCTGGGGAGAATCCCAAGGCACAGGATTCACTGAAAACTAAGAGAACAGCTTGTCCCTCAGATATAGGGTCACATTTGTGTAAGATCTCTGTACATGCAAACATACAGACGTGCTGTGAGCTGGAAGTGCTCTGGAGCCCCCCCACCCCGCTCCCTCCCCAGGGACATCTATCTGACTCCAGGCCTCCTCCTCTGGGAGCCTGCCATGACAATGTTGGGTCTCCCGCAGCTATCAGGCACACTTGGCCATGGGGCACCCACTTGGACTCAGGAACCATGTAAGACTTGTCAGATCTCTCTGTACCTTGGGTTCTCTAACTCTTCAGGCCTCCAAGATTAGCACACCAGATGGGTGAGGCTTTTGAGACTGTTTCTATTGTGAGCTTAGGGTAATTTGAGAAGGAAATTATGATGTAGATGTCATTATGGAAAGGTTAGTACGTTAGGGATGTACTAAGGGACAACTTCAAAGTTACACAGCAAATTCGAACTCTCACCTCCCAGCCACCCTTGGCACCCAACCCTAGAGAGGCGGCCTGCTGAGGAAATGACATGCCAGGGTTTCTGGGTGGCATTAGGAGCTCAGGGGTTGGTAGAAAGCCTCACTCTTTTTGCTTGGTCCTAGGTGGAAGGTTCCTCTGCCACCAGGGGGCCGTGGCTCTTCATGCACCCCGCTCAGCATCCCTGTTCCTAGGAAGACAGTGGATCAACGCCCATTGGCAGCCAGACAAGAAGTTGGTCTGGAATCAGTTGCTCATGCCCCTGTGGCCAGCCAGCACCAGCACTACTCTGCTCTGCTGACTTCTGAGTGCTCCTCCCGGTCCACCCACTGGGTTGGGGAGAGACTCTTAACTCTACTGTCCACTAGGGAAACTGAAGCCCAAAGAAAAAGGACTTGCTCAAGGTCAAATCTGCCTGGTGAGGATGGGCAGAGAAAAGGTCGCAAGATAAAATATCGGCTATCTGGTTACATTTGGATACTAGCTAAACCATGAATAATTTTTAGTATATCTCAAATGTTGCATGGAGCATAAAATGGACATTAAAATGATTTGTTTACCTGAAGTTCAAATTTCCTTGGCTTTTATTTTTATTTCTCAATCTGGCAACTGTGGCTGGGCAGAAAGAGAAGGCTCCAGTTCCCTGGGCTCCTGAACCCTCCTGTGCACACTCAGTAGCCTCTCTGCTCCTAGGAGGGCTCTCCAAGAAATCTCGGGTCTCACTGCAGCTGCTCCTCCAGATCTGGGAAAGGAAGAGCTTCTTCCAGCCCCCGGGGGGCAGGGGTGCAGGCACAGCCCCTATCAGCTCTGTGCTGGGCTGGAGGCTGAGAGTCAGGAGGGCAGCCCCAGGAGGCCACCTTCAAATCTCACCTAGTCCCTCCCCCTCCCTCCCTCCCTCTTTTTCTGCCTCCTTCCTTCTCTGCCTCCTTCTCCCACCTGGACCCCCTCTGTATTTTGCTCCTTTTGCAGATGGCCTCCTCTTCCCTCAGGGGCCCTAGCACTGTTCCCCAGAGCCACCAATTGCCATGAATGTTTAAAGTTAAAAAAAAAAAACAGTTAAGTACAGTAAGAGACACAACACCATGAATCACCCTCAAAATACTTCCCCTCCTGCTGCCTTCAAACACTTCTCCTGCCATCCTTGCCACTTTCTGAAGCAGTTCTGGAAGTCCTCTTTCCTGAGGGTCTTTTGCTCTGTCCTATCTACCCCCATGTCCTGAATTTACCTTTCTTGGCCATTTTGACCGTGATTGCATGGTGCCAGATCTGGTGAATAAGGTGGATGAGGACACTATGATGCTTTTCCAGCTTGTTTTTTGGGTGGATGGTGCTTGACAGCAGCATTCACCACAATTTTGAGCACACTGAGGAAAAAGGACTTCCAGAACTGCTTCAGAAGGTGGCAAGAATGATGGGGAACTTGTTTGAGGAGAGAGTAAGTACTGGGGCCGGCTAGTGGTAAAGTGTCTTTTCTTGCATTACATGCGTTATGTATTTAGACATTCACCACATATTTCATATGTATCTGGACATGCATAAGCATGTAGAGAAACATGACTAGGAGGCGGAAGGTGGATTGCAGACTGGCAGGCTGGAAACTCAGGCAGGCGTTGACAATGCAGTCCTGAGGTAGAAATTCCCTTTTCTCGGGAAAACTTCAGTCAGCCTTTTAGGGCCTTCATGGGTAGAGGCCCACCACATTATTGAGGGGGAGGTGTTTTACTCAGAGTCCACTGGTTGTACATGCTAACCACAGCTACAAAACACTGTCACAGCAGTTCCTAGGCTAGTGTTGGAGGGGCTTACTGGGCACTGGAGCCTGGCTAAGCTGACACCTGAACCTGGCCCTCTCAGTGGTCAAGTGAGGGAAGCTGAGTGGGAGCTGGGACTTAAGCCAGGGAGTGCAGGGCACAAGTCCATGGGGCTCCAGTGGCTGCGGCAGGTCCCTCCTGTCTTGTCCTTCCCTCCCTTGATTCTCATGGTTTCTCTGCCAAGCTGACTCAGATGAGAAAGAGGCCATCTCCTCTGCCTGGGAGACTTGGCACTGGGAGAGGCAGGATGCTCTCTACAAAGAAGCCCTTTGATGGGCAGTGTAGCCTGGGTTATGGGCCAGAGCTGAGCTTTGCAGACAGCATGGTAGGCCCGGGCCTGACCCTGCATTGATCACTGACTCTAAGGCTCTGGACTAGTGCCTCCCTCTACTACAAGTGATGGAGGGTGGTCCCCATCTGCCCTCTGCCCAGCTGAATCAAGGAAGGGATTGTGAGCCATGGTGGCTCTCAAGGGCAAAGACTTGGCCTCGTATCTCTTCTTCTAAGTTGCTTATAGAGCAGCAGGGGAGAAGGCCACTGTCCCAGCCAAGTAGATACAGCAGGAACAGGAGGTGCCGAGTCCAAGGCCTGAGCCCTGAGAATCTGGCTCCACCTCCATGACTGGATATATCTTCCTTGCGCTCCTACCCTGGAAGAGATTGTGCGAGTGCCTCCTCTGCCTTGTGCATCCTCAGCTGTCCCGTCCAACTGAGCAACTGGCAGTGATGGCAGCAAGCCCTTCCAGCATCGAGGAAGACAATGAAATGTGCATCAACAAAGAACCGGCACCTGGAAGCCACAGGCAAGGCCAAGACCACCTGATGATAGTAGGTGAGGATCCCCAAAAATGTCCCTTGACTACAGCCAACCATGTGGCCTTCTGTCTACACTTGTGCGTGTGTGTTGGAGAAGGTACAGACCCTCACATGTGCACATGTATGCATCTGCATGCACTGTCCTCCTGGACATGTGTCTGGGCCTTGGAGTATTTGTGTGTTGGGTGGCAGAGGAGCTGGGGGGAAAAGGGACAGAGGATGTAAGCATTTTGTAGCCCAAGTGGGAGATAGGTTGGTGTGGTTCCTCTCTCTCTCCCCCATCTCAGCTAGCACTCTGTCTATTGCAAAGCATTCGGAGGGCTTGGTTTATAAGATCAGTCAATCCTCTCTCCTAACCCTGTCATGCTTTCTCCATCCACATCCATGATCTACAAGATCCTATTAGGGCCACTTCCTCACTATATTTCATGCTGGGACATACACAAAAATCCACGCTGCAGTTATGTTTGTTCTCACAATGGCCCGAGCCTGCTTCTCCCTACAGCCTTTGTACTTGCTGTTCCCCTGGGTCCCTGTGAGTGAACCCCGTGTCTTCTTCATATCGCCTCCTCACTGTTGGCTCCTCCTTTTCCTGAGGAAGTCTTTCCTTCCCACCATGTCACCCTGATTTTGTCATTCTGAGAGCATTTCTCGTGAGTTTGCACTGAAGCATTATTTTCTATTTTGTGCTTCCCATTCTCCTTTGTACACAAACATTGTCAGTTCCATCATGGGTGGGATCTTGTCTCCTGGTTGTTGCTCATTCTCTCCAGTAACTGAGGCCCAGACTTGGCCTTCAGTGAATACTCACTGAACTTCTGAACAGATGAACAAACAGACCTGGGATCAGCAGTGGTCAATGGGCCTTGAATGACTCCTAAGAAGTTTCGGGCCCTGTCTTGTATCTGATATGTCTTGTGCCCAGGAAGCTCTGTACAACTTTTGTGGCTGTTCCTGGGGTCTCTCTTCTTCTCTCCAGACATACTGGATCACGGACCTTGGTCGACGGGTGTTTCCCAGAGGGACCAGAAGGCGGGACCAAAGGTTGCTGTCTCCATTATAACCCAGTCACCTTGGAACATGACTTCCTCCGGGGCCAGAAAAGCAGTACTGTCTGGGGTCTTTGGCACACAGTGCCTGGGTTGGGCTGGGAGGTACTGGTTTGTAGAGGCTCCTGCCTAACCATGGTAGATCAAGTGGGGCTGGAAGTTGCTCAGGAGGAGGGGAAGTCCCTATGTGCCAAGCAGGCAAATGAGGACAGGCAGGGGGGTGGTCTAGTGAAAGGTGAGAGCTGTCCTTTGGTGTGCTGGGAGTTTAACACTGGGAGTCCAGAACGTCTGAAGTATACTGTGTAGGGAGTATATATAAAGCTGGCCCTCAGTGGGAGACCTGACTGTTATAAGAACTCATGTGAGCCTCATGTTTCTTAGTCAATTCTTTATTCGCCTTGAGTGAGGGAAGGATTCAGTGATGTCTGCAGGTGAAACTTCTGGCAGAGGACAGGGACCCTTGTCACTGTTCTTCCCTTGTCACAGCCTGCAAGGGCAGGGGCTGCTGAGGAGCATGGCAGGGGTGGGGTGGTGGTGGGTAGCTCACTTGTGGGGTTTCCAGGCTTTTCTAGTGGCCTCAAGCTGCCAGCCCTTGATTCCAGAGGATCAGGTACCACGTGGCTGGGGTGCCATGGCGTGCGCCGTCCGTCCCGGACACTATGTGGGAGGCCACTTAAGTGGGGCTGAGCACATGGCTTAGAGTGGCCCTTCCTTTCTGTAGGCGCACCAGTGGCAGGGGCCCAGGGTGTCTGGAGAACCAGGCCACGGTGATGCCCATTCCCAGGAGTGCCCTGGCAGCTTCCAAGGCTGTAATGACCCGTAAGAGCTGGAGCACCTTGGGGCAGATGGGGTGGTGCGCAGCTTGGTTGGGAAGGAATTGTGGGTCCTTGGAGTACTGGGGTTGTTGCCTCCTGGCCACCTGGGACCTGCAGGTGCTCTGTGGCAGGATTGGCCAGGCTGGCTTCCTGCTCTTCAGCCCCAGGCCCTCTTTACCAAGGACAGAAGAGTCACTGTCAGAGAAGCCCCTGGTCTTACCTGCTTGCTCACGTGGCTTTCCTCTCTGCCAGGCCCTGGCTGGGGCCACCAGCAGCTCCTATCCTCTGTCTTCTTTTTTTCCACAGCAATCTGGGGCTGGATCTGCTGGCAGAGCTTGGCCTGGATGAGCTCAATGGACTGGAGATGGAAATCATGAGAAGACAGGTGAGCTCATGGAGCATCTGAGGTGGGGTCAGGCTCCCTTCTCTTTCTCCCTGGCACCCCACCTCGGTGCATGCTCAAAGTCCCTCTGTCAGGGAACCAGTCCTAGGCCAAAGAGCCCCCCCCCCCGCCTGTTCCCGTGTCACTGCTGTCCCCTGCAGCAGCTGGGAGGGGCTGCAGTGACATTGGGGAGGCCTGGCCTTGGGGCCCGCTGGGCCGTACCAGGGGCATTTTGGCCCCTAAGGGACAGCCAAGCCCCCTTGTTCTAATGCCGGACTTCCCCATCCATGGGCCTGGGGCACCCGGGAAGAACCCTGCTCCCCAGCCCTGCCTCCGGCCCCTCCACAGCTGCTTGTGATCACTGAGCGTCTGTGTGCCCTTGAGGATCGGGATGCCACCTGGCGCTTTAAGGAGGCGGTAATCTTCACCATGATGGTGTTGGCCTGCGTTGCCAACGTGTGGCTGTGGATGCGCCAGTGAAGCCATGGCCCCAAGGGAGAGGACAGGGCAGCCCGCCCACAGTGACACCAGCGGGCCTTCCAACCCATCCCCTGCTTCGGTTTTGGCTTCCTCTTCCCGTTTGCTTCCAAGCTGTGCACAGGGCTCTGCACAGGCTCAATAAAAGTTTGGTGACAGCCGTGAAACCTGCCGGTGAGGCTCATTGCCCACACCTTCCTCACTCTCATTATCCCCAGCCCAGGCACAGGGCTCCCTTGTCGGTTTCTCACCAGTGACTGCTCGTGAGGACACGGTGCTGTAGGCTGTGACAGCCCGGGCATTGCCAGGACTCAGTGAGACGAGGCAGGAACCGTTCCACTTGTACTGGAGGAGACTGAGCTCCAGAGGGGGGAAGCACGTCCCAGGGGTGTCCAGCAAGACAGGGACCGTGTCGGGTGGGATGGTCTCTCCTGAACCCTAGCCTAGGGACTGGCCTGTTCCTGCAGACTCTCTGGGCATGAGGTCCTGACTCGCTGGGGCACAGCCCCTGGCAGCGTTCATCAGTTCGTCAGACAGGGCCAAGCGCAGGGTGGGAGCGCCAGGCCTCGGAGACCCGTGGAAGAGCTGCTGTCTGGGCTCGGGTATTAGTCACCCGCCCATCTCCGGGACGCAATACCTGGCACTCACAATTTACAGAAAGAGCTCGCAGTTTCCACTAGGTTCAGTCCATGGCTGGCTGGGTCCAAGGTAGAAAGAGCATGGCGGAAAGGTGTGGCAGAGGACAGCTGCTCACCCCAGGGCAGCCAGGAGGCAGAGCAGCAAGGGAGGAGCTGGGGACAAGAACACACATCTGTGCATGGGGGCAGGAGAGGAAAAAAGGGAAAGAGAGGGAGGGGAAGGAGTAAGAGAGGAGGGAAGGAAGGAGAGGGACACAAACAGAGGAGAAGGAGTGACAAAGGAAGTGGCAGAGAGGGCGTAGGGGTGAGAGAAGAGGCCCTCAGCTGAACCCTGTACCATGATGAGGCTCCCCCACTCCGGACACTCTGGGACCAGATGCAGGGCTCTTCAGACCAGAGGGCAGCACTTGTGCCCAGAGCCTCGCCTTGCTGCAACCTGAAAGAAGGGGCTGAGTGAACACCCTTGGGTGCTGAGCGCAGAGCACAGAGAGCAATGGGATGCCAGAGGAAGCCCCTTTGGGGAGCAGGGAGACAGCAGCACCGGGTTCTAGGAGAGCCAGCAGCACTGGGGCCCCTCCAAATGGGCCCCGGAGGGAGACCCAGGAACCCCTTGAGGCCTGGAAGCAAGGTTGAGGACCTTCTTGAAGACCAGCCCTCCACTCTCTGCAGCCTTGGGGCAGACCAGGTCCCCAGAGATGAAGGGCCGATACCGGTCAGAAGGCCGCTGCTGCTGGCAGGGCCAGGTCCACCCTTTGGGGCCTGGGTGCGGGCACGCCTGTGCAGACATGGACATGTTTGCATGAAAAGTCTGGTTGGAAATATGTTGTGAAACAAAGGTCCCCCCGGGGGAGCAATTTAGCTGAGTTGCAAACAAACAGACGGGCCCCCTGGAGGAACAGCTCCCGAGCTGGAGCTGGAGAGCCTGCCCTGCTGTGTGGCTGCGTGGCTGGCTTCTGACTGGCACGGCTGGGGGTCACTACGCACCCCACAAGAAGGCCTCAGGGACTCCTGAGGGGAAACTCTGACCAGGTTGCATCCCTCTGGCCTTAAGGGCAAGCTTTCTGCAAGAACACCTTCCCCATCCAAGGAAGTATCTGACCACCGTCAGTGTGGTCTATGTACTACATGTCGAGCACACTGCATTTTATAAACACTTAATTGTATGTGTCACTCGTGAGTGCAGTCTCCTAAAACAGTCAAACATCAGCTAACACGATCCCCGAACCCCCAGGTCAAGCCCCTGCCCAGAGATAACTCCCACCCTTGGCATGATGCACGACCCTGCAGACCCTATGCTGCCCCAGACGGGTCGCATGTCATGTACCTGCCTGCGGCCGGCCCAGGCTTTGTGCACAGATGTCATTTAAGCCTTCTTGCACAGCCTCCCAGGGAGGGGCTCGTCTTCCGAGCCCTCTGTGCAGGTGCAGAAAGTGTGAGCCTGGGTTACATCCTGTTCCTCCTGTCTGGCTCCTGATCTTCACCAGCCCTGGGCAAAAGTTGAAACTAAGGGCTGGGAATGTAGCTCACTGGCACTGCATCTGCATTACAGGCGCAAGGTCTTGAGTTCGATCCCCTGTACAAAAAAAACAAAGTTGAAACTGAGTATTCCAGTGCTTCTGTGTCACCATGGCTTTCTCACAGCTGGAGAAGGTAGACAGTCGAGAGGGCCTGTGGGGAGGGGACAGGAGGTGCAGGGAGGGGCTCTGAAATGCTGGCCTCTTGAAAAGCAGTCAAAGATCTACTGCCCTGGGCCCCGTGATCAGTTCCCTTCCCCTGCCCAACCCCTCTTGGAAGCCGAGTTCTAGGGGATCTTAGAGGGGGAGAATGGATTCCTCCTCAGTACGGCTGCGCCTCTGCTCCTCTTGTCTCTCCTTGCTTGGCTTCCAGTGAGGTGGGCTGGCTGAGCCTGCTTCAGCACCTCAGGCCAGATGCATGGTGGCCGTGCATGCAAGCTGGCGGTCTCCAGATACAAAGCCCTGAGCACACTCTAGGCAAGGGAGTGTCCCTTGGGGAGCCTGGGAGGGGCCAGCTCCTGGGTCTAGGCTGAAAGCAGCCTCCACAGCAGGCAGCCAGCATTGAGGACAGCCCAGGGTGTGCAGGGCCCCCTGGTAGGACAGCTTCTCCAGGGGGCAGGTGGCACCCTGGGCCAATCTTGAGCTCACCTAAGCTGTGGGCATGAGCTGCCTTGGGTCTCTGCTGGTCTCCACTGCGGGTGTCAGGTTGGGTAGGACAGCTTCCTGACTGCGAGGCTGCCATCTGCATTGCTGTGGGCTCTGGGACCCCACTGGCCCTGGGCTGGAGAAACAGGGGTCTCTCTTGGCTTCAGGAGCTCATGATCCTTCAGGGGCGTGCGTCTGACTGGAGGTGGTGTGGATGGACCATTCGATGTTGACTGAAGCCATCTGATTGGTGAGGGAAGGGGCTGGCCTGGGGCTGACAGCTTCCTGTGGCCACAGGCTGGTGACCTCCATGGGGGTTGGGGCTGGAACCTAGAGAAGTGTGCAGGCCTCAGGCCAGGGCTGGCACGGGCCTTTGTGTGTATAGGTTGTGAGGAGGCTGAGGATAATGGCTGTCTGGGGAACTCTTCCCCTGTCAACGCAGTGAGATGAAATCCTGGAGGCTTTAGGAGCGCAGTGGCTATGAGTGCCACATTAGGCTTGCCCTGAGGCACCCGAGCCTTTGTCGCCTCTCAGAAAGGTGATGGGGGGTGGCTGGAGAAGGCTAGGAGCAGAAAGGTTGAGGGGCTGCCTGGCTAGGCCAGGTTCTGTAGGGGAAGCTGGGGTGCCCATGGGCCTTTGCCCTGCACCTGCCTCCACTGCCTGCCTGCCGGGAGTGCAGCCAGGCCCAGCCTCAGGGCATGGGGTAGGCTGCTTGCAGCTCCACGGCTCTCTCCAAGGGAGGAACTCCCTGGGTAGGGAGCCAGTATCTTATGTGGTGCTTCTCCCAGAAACCCTGCTGGGATCGCAGTCTTTGCTTTTGGCCCTTCACATGGTTCCTCTGCCTCCTCACGAGACCCTCGAGGGGAGCATGATTTGGGCAAACCCTTCTGCAGCTAAGCTCTGGGAGCTTCAGGCTGAGGGAAGATTGTGGAGCCAGGTAGCAGGCCTGGCACAGTGGCAGACTCTCAGGGCTGCTGTGGGTCCAGCACTCTGTTTTGGCTTCCAGTTTGAGTCTGTAGCAGCATGTGTAGGCCTGGTCCACACCCCTCATCTCTAGACCTCTTGCCAGTAGTAGGACCCCAGGTTCCTCCTTCCCCAAGGCAGGACCCCTCCAGCTACCCCTTAGCATCCTCTGGCAGTGCTTGCCTTCTCCAGAGAGAGGAGACTGAGGGCTTGGGTGGGACACACACTACTGCATCAAGTTGAGGCCCAACTGTAGTGGCTTACGAAGAGCAAGTCAACCTTGAGTTCATCGTCGGGAGATGGTAAATCTATGGTGTAGACAAAGTGGGGAAAAGGGAACATGAAACAAGGCATGGATTTGGGGAAGTGGAGAGAAGTTGAGGGAATCCATTCATAAATACATTCACCTATGAATGTATTCAATTGTTTGCCAAATACATGACAAATAACTGTTACACTGAATTCACACTGGCGATGTCGATGGTAGTGACAAGGGAGAAGAGATCTGGGGATCTCAATGTGGAGGAACAATGAATCAAAGGCTGTGACAGGACACAGGTAGGACCTGGGGCAGCAGCAGTCAGGACGGATGGGGAAAAGTGCTGGAGAGAGATTTCAGGAGTAGAACCAATGAGATTTGGAGACTAAGTGGAAGGTATCAAGAATGATGCCTAAGATTCTTTCTTTTCTTTTTTGTTTTCTAGCACTAGTGATTGAACCCAAAGCTTTTTCCCGGAGCTATATCGCCAGTCCTTTTATTTTGAGATAGGCTTTTTGTAAGTTGTGAAGTTGCCCAGGTTGAGCTCAGTCTTGCAATCCTCCTGTTTTAGCTGAGGGCTGGAAGTCCTGGTCAGTCACAAATATCTATCAAAGGAATCATGGTGATGGGGAATTCAGTGTGACATGGGACAGGGTGAGCTGCAGGTTTCCAAGGGCAGCCAGAGAGAAATGTCCATTTGGAAGCTGGAAAGAAAATCTAAGCTTAGCAGGGAGGTCTTGCTGTCATCCTTAACTTTGTTACTGGGCATACAATGCCAGCTTTACTTTTGTGACTCAGTGTATAACGTGTCATATTTCACTGGATGTATTTAAGATTTTTCCCATTAATGGGCCTGGAAAATTTCATTATGATTTGTCTTGGTGTAATTTTCATGGTGTGTGTGCGCGTGCTTGCATGTCCTGTTTAGGTAAATATAAACAGATATACACAAGTTACAAAACATTTTAGTTACGTTTTCAAACATCTGTTATCCTCTCTGTCCTTCTGGAACTAGATCACACCCATATTACTCCATTGAATCTATCCCACAGCTTACTGATGTTTTTTTCTATGTTTCATTTTGGACAGTTTTATTGTATTGTCTTCAAGTTCACTGATCTCCCATTAATCCCAGAGACAGTCTGTCTTCCACACCCATGGGCTCTGCAATCAACCAACTGTGAATTGAAGATCTTTTTAAAAATTGCATGTATACCAAACATGTAGACTTTTCTTCTTGTTTTCATCCCCTAGACAACACAGTATAACAGCTATCAACACAACATTTATATTGTATTAGATATTATAAGTAATCCAGAGATGATAAAATGTGGGAGGATGTCTAGGTTATATACAAATAGTATAAGGGCCTTGAACATTAGTGGATTCTGTTATGCACAGTAGGGTCTTGAAAGATACTGAGGAATGGCTGTAGTGAATTTTTCACCACACAAATTCTACTTTTAATCTCTAGAAGGTAGGCCTGGGTCTTTTTATACATTCCATACCCCAACTTAACTTCTTGAACAAATGAACTACAGTGGTATATTAACTTTTGAGGTCTTGTCTGCTAATTCTACATTTGTGCCAATTCTCGGTTTGTTTCTATTTATAGAGTGCTTTCTCCTCATTGTGGAGAAATTATATGCATGTCTGGTAACTTCAGGGTAGATACTGCGCTTTGTGAATTTTACCTTATTAGACGCTGGGTATTTTTATATTTCTCAAATCATTCTTAAATCTTGTTTCTGGGATACTGTGAAATTCCTTGGAAAGAGCTGTGTCCTTTTGAGTCTGCTTTTAAGATTTTTCAGGGGACTTCAACAGTGCTCAGTCTAAGCACTAACCCTTCTCAAATATCCCGTGGATCATTGGGTTTTCCAGTGTGGCTGACAGCATCAGGCCCTGTGTGAGAGGGGAGGGCTGTCTATCTAATTCTAGGCGATGTTTCTTGCCTCAAACAGGAATAGCTTCCTTATTGGTTGGACTGATACATGCTCAGCTAGATCCTTGAGGGCAACCTTCTTCAGGTTCCCAGAGTTTGTTCTCTCCGTCTCTCCCTCTCTCTCTCCAGTTCTCTCCTCTCCCATATTCTGCTCTGCACACCCCAACTGCTTTGGTCTCTTGGGATTCCTTCCGGTGTCACCTCAACCCAGGAAATCAGTCAGGTTCCATCTGTATTTCCCCTCTCTGTGCTATGGCCTAGAAAGTCTTCCATGGGAGCAATCTGGGGCAATCCCAGGGCTCATCTCACCCATTTCCTGTCCACTAGGGAATACCACCCTTTGGAACTTACTGTTTAGAGGATTGAAGACTGTTGTTTCATACCTTCTTCTAAGTTTGGTGGCTGCATTCTGGAGGGTAGGTTTGGTCCCTGTTATTCCATCCTTGCCAAGTGGAGAGGTGTTGCATGTTCCACTAAAATTACCTAATTGACATCGCAGTAGCCTAAGCTGAGTAAGTCAAGTAGAGAGGGAGTAGTGGACTTGGAAAATGCAGGGATCACTCATAGATTATTCATCCAAAACATTCATAGAACACCTGCCATGTGTTGTGCACTGAGAAAATACAGATCCAGATGGTACTGATGGCGACGGCGAGAAATGACTTGACACGTGGGGTGCAACGAGCTTTGCATACATAGAGTGGGGCACGAAAGAAAGAGCGGTCGGGAGAGCACTGAGGTTTTTGACCTGACTAACTGGGAGAATCACTGAGATGCAGGTAACGGTGGGAGGGGAGATCAAAAGTTCAGCCTTGGGCATACTGAGCCTGAGCTGCTTGCTCCAAACCCACCTGGTTATGTTAGGGAGACAAGCTGGAGTTCAGGGGAGAGGTGGGGCTGGTGTTCCCTGTGTGTAGGCCGTTAGCATCCAGCTGTATTTAAGGCTGTGAGACCGGGGAAAAGGGTAAAGCCAGACAACAGAAGGGATCTGTTCAAGGACTGGGTTCAGGACCCTCCAATGTCGAGAGTTAGGGAAGAGGAGGAGAGTTCTGAAGACACAGAGAAGAAGCGATCAGTGAAGCAGGAGGAGAATAGAACTCGTTATTTTAAGAATGAGGCGCGGCTGAGAAACACAACAGAACAGGAGCAGAGTAGTGACTTTTTGGACCGACTGTGCTCCTGACTGTCTCCTCTTTTAACCTGGGAGCAACGCTGAGCTGAAAGACCCTGCCAGGCCCATGTCTCTCACCTCAGTACCCAGCCCAGGACCTGGCACACAGTAGGTGTCTTCAGTTTGTGCCTGGACTAGATGAATGAGTGAAAGCAACAGGCAGCAGCGTGCACTTGAGCTAACCAGGCTGGAACTCTGAGTCTTGGAGGTCTGCCCGTTCACTTGCTCCTTCTCTCCGGCCTTAGTGTCTCCGAAGCTGGCTTTTCTATGCAGTTGACCTATCTTCCTCTGGGATTGAAAGCCACAATCTTTGAGTGTTCCACCCTTCACCTAGGGTCCCCTGGCCATGTCCGCTCTCCGTGGCAGCTGGAGGGCCTGTTTGTCCTCACACTCATCGTGTTTCCCCTGTCCATCACCCCCAGCGGCCATTTCGAACCCCTCTGGCCTCCACCAAGGTCCGTATGTCCTGCAGCCTGGTGCGTCTGAAGTTGAAACTCCTCTCACGGTACCCTTGCCTGCGACTAAAATACCTGGCACCTCCTTCCCTTCCGCAGCCTCTCCCTGCGACTCACTTCCTCTGGCACCTGAAACAGTCCTCACACCCACCTTGCAAGGGCCAAAGCGCAGATCTTTTCATTTTCTATGCAATCTCTTCTCACAACTTTTCGATTTGCTTTCCTATCTCCTCAATGTAAAATAGTAACAATAGCAACACAGAGAAACTTTCCCAACCTCACATCCTGCTCTGTTCCCACTCTATCTCTGCCCATTCTCAGCCAAGCTCTAGAGAATTAGCTATGCGCCTTATCTCCTGCTCCTCACAACTCTTTCCTGACTCCCAAACCCTGTGGAATGCACCCACCCCCGCTTTTATCACTGGGCCTCCTCAGTGCTGCTGTAGATAAGATCACCAGCAAGGCCCCTCTTGTCCCACCCCGTGGCCCACATGGGCTCTCATCTCAGGGGACAGTGCCAGTGCGGGGCCTCTCCAGGCTGCTCTCATCTTCCTGACAGGGGAGTGTGGCGGACATTGTCCCAACAACTGCTCCCTTCCCGCATCTCACCCTCCCCTGGGAACGTTCTTTTGTTTCTCACAGCCCTCGGCCTCTCCTCCTCCTCCACTTAGCCAGCAACTTAGGCTGTCTGTCATGGTTGTAGCTTCTCAGAGCTCTGCCCTCAGCCCTCTCTGCCTTCATGATACGGAGGATGGGCTCATTTCCCCTGAGAGCTTCAGCTCCCTGGCCCACCTCCATGGTGTCCATGGGCCCCTCCAGTTCAGGCCCCAGGGAATGCCAGGCTGGTCATAGTTGGCTGCTGCAGGCTTAGAAGTCCATGGTGTGGCCAGGAGACCAGGCCACAGCCATGGGGATAGAAGGCAATAGACGGGCAGACCCTTCTGGGGAATCATTCCAGGAAAGAGGCTGCTCAGATGTGATGAAGGAAGCAAAGAAAGAGTCACAGTTGACATGCACATTTCTGACTTGAGGGGCTGGGAAAAGGCAGGCCCCCTTCATGAGGTGGGTAAATCGAGGGAGCAGCTGATTTGTAGGTGAAGGTGTCAGGTTTGGTTTTAGCTGTGTCAAATTTGGCATTTGAGGTCCCTCAGAGGAGATGTCCAACAGGCATCTGAAGATAAAAGTAGGCAGCTTGGAAGACACTTCTGGGCCGGGAATGTGATTAGGGCCCTAATATAACCATCGGGGCTGGATAAGGGTTCTTGGCCAGAATGCACCTATGAGAACCACAGGGCTGACGGTTGGGTGAGGCAGGGGATGTCTCTCTGTCCTCTTCACCAGCATGCAGCCAGACTGGGGCTGGGCTGGGCTGTTCTGGCAGGGAGGTGCATCTCCTCATGCCTAGGCAGAAGCCCAGAGAGAGTATAAAGGTGTGCTGTGTCCGCAGAGCTGACCCACTCTCCTCTTCGCCTGCAAGCTTGGTCTTTATAACACCACCTTTTCCAGGAGGCCAGCTAGAAAACCGATCAGTGTGCATGGGCCTGGCTTTGTTTGCACTGCCTGGAGCTTTCTGTCTCCATGGTCTGCTGCCTCCAGGGTGCAGCCAGGGACTCACAGATGCCAGTACCTCTCCCTCAGGTGCCCTCATTAGCAACCTGGTGCACCAGGCAAGCATCTCTGAGGCTGCTTGACAGGTCTGCCATCACCATGGCAACGGCTTCAGGAGCTGGAACAAGCTAGGTGGGGTGGACACCAGGAGCAGCTTCAGGACTATGAGTCCAGCAGTAGGGGCCCTGGGAAATCTGGGGGCACCGGATGACCATTGCTGTTCCCATCTGCTGAAGCACCTGACTAGCCCAGGCAGGGAACAGCTGCTCTGAGTGTCCGCTGGCCCAGGCTCCCGACTGCAGCAAGGTATACTGTGGGATACAACCTCCCTTCTGTTTTGATGGCCCCTTCTGGGCTATTTCCTCTCAGTCTATTTTGTATACTCTTTCTCCTCTGCTCAACTCCCCAATGTAGGGGCAAACCTCAGCACCCAGGTACTTCTGGGGCCAGCGGGACTTAGCTTTGCCTCGGTGCCAGGCTCCAAAGCCCAAGAAAATGACTGAACTCCTCCAGCTCCGATGTGACATTGCACATGCAGACAGTGCCAAACTACAAAACGTGCTCTTGTTTCCTTTACCCTTGTGAATTTTTTGGGCATATGAACTAGCTAGCTGGGCCCTGGTTTTGTTCTCACACTACTCAGCAGTAGCTTGTCTGTCCTCAAAGGGTACCAGGGTACTCTGTGACCTTCCATGGTTGTGTCCTTGGCAGGTGAGTCCCAGCTGTACATGGAGGATGACAGAAAAATCCAATGGTGTGAAAAGCTCCCCAGCCAATAACCACAACCATCGCGCAGCCCCTGCCATCAAGGCCAATGGCAAAGACGAGCACAAGACCAGCAGCAGGTGAGTCTGCTAGTCTGCTCCTCTCGGCTGCCTCCATGACCTCTTCCAATGGGACACTGAGATTTCTTGGCATGCTTCAGGGGTGAGACAAGTCATGCCCAGAGAACACTGGATTGTATCTGGTCCTTTTTTAATATGTGATACTGTGATTGAACCCAGGGCCTTCACACTGAGCTACATCCTCAGCCCCATTTTTTAAACTTCTTTTTTAAAATTTTGAGACAAGATCTCATTAAGTCCCTCAGTTCCCCAGGTTGGGCTTGAACTTGTGGTCCTCTTGCCTCAGTCTCCCAGAGTACTGGGATTACAGGTGTGCACCGCTACATCCAGCAAATCTGTTCCTCTTCTCTGCAGGCCGCAGTCTGCAGCCGATGATGATACTTCCTCTGAACTGCAGAGGCTGGCCGACATGGATGCTCCTCGCCGGGGGAGGGGTGGCTTCCAAAGGTGGGTTCCTCCACTAACCTGCTGCCCCTCTGTCAGGGTGGACACCATGGCCCTCCTCACAGCCCCACTAGGTCTTTCTGTAAGACCGAAGAGGTCCGAGCAGCTCCAAGGCTCCTGTGAGGCAAGCTGGGAGTGGCCAGCAGTCTCAGCATTGGCTGGAGGTATTCTTCCCAGCTGAGGGGCCTAGGTAGGTGGTCCCAAGGTGGCCATGCACGGGGAAATCACCCTGGTATGTCTTGCCTAAACTCAACATCTATCTTACCCTGAAGACTCCTTGTTTGCTCTTCACATTACAGGGTATCTTCCTAATTTCTGACCCCCAGAATGCATTCCGGGTCCTTCCCGGAGCCCCAGTCCCTGCTCTAGGTGCTGGCCTCTATCCCAACTCTTAGAACACAGGAAATCATGGCCTGGCCTGTTTGTCTTTCCGTTTCCCTCTTCATGTTCCATCTCTCTCACCAGACAATGAGCTCTCAGGGGCAAGTCCTCTCAGAACAGCAAAGGTCTCCTTTCTGGCTCATTCTCTCTCTCTCTCTCTCTCTCTCTCTCTCTCTCTCTCTCTCTCTCTCTCTCTCTCTCTCTCTCTCTCTCTCTCTCTCTCTCTCTCCTCTAGGGTTGTACGCCTGGTGGGGATTATAAGAGATTGGGCCAACAAGAATTTCCGTGAGGAGGAAACTAGGCCTGACTCATTCCTTGAGCGTTTCCGTGGGCCTGAGCTTCAGACGGTGAAGACGCAGCAAGGAGATGGCAAAGGAGACAAGGACGGCGAGAGAAAGGCCACCAAGTACAGTTGTCCAGCCAGTGGGGCTCAAGGGCTCCCAAACATGTGATAGGAGTGCTGAATGGGGCTTCAAATGCCATTGCCAGGGGCAGACCGGGGAATAGGCCAATTCCTGTCATAGCAGGGAAAGGGCTGGCAGAGACACCTGCTGTTTTTAACTCCAGAACATTTCCACGGTCCTTACCCACAGCTTCTCCAACAGCCAGTGGAATCACACCATGGGAACCTCTGGTGGCTTTTTTTGGCCTTAGACACTCCCATACCAGATGTTCTCTCCAGGCTCATGAAGTCACTGTGGGCAGTCAGTAAATGCACCAGGAGGGTGCACTCTGGTTGTACTGATGAAGGCAGGCTTGCCTCCAGCTCCTCAGTGGGCAAGGAAGGGGACATGCAGGGAGTCGGTGCGAAAGACCCAGATGATTGAGCAGGAGAGGCGGCAGGGTAGAGAAGGCCGAGTGGAGGGTCTGTTCTTTGAGGGATGAGCGGGTGCCTGCTGATGTCTGGCCAAGCCAACTTTCGCCACCACTGGTCAGTGGAGGAAAAGGGCCCTTGCGAAGGTAGGACAGAGCATCTGAGAAAGTGATTTGGAGGCTAGAGGCCAGGGACCGAGAAGAGAGGGTGAGGTGCACTCACTTGCCTGGGGTTTCTCTCTCTGCCCGGGAGGGATGTGACAACAGGCATCCTGCTGAAAGCTCTGCCCCAGATATGCCTTTCGAGCAAGTGAATCCAGAGGTCCTCTCTGTGGTCGGAATGGGAAGAGGGGCATCTGTCACCCTCCACCTGCCTGGCTCAAGATTGTGGGTCTCTGAAAACTGGAGCCCTAAGCCAACCTACCCCTCATTCCACACATGCCCATCCGCAGTGCTTTTCTGGGAGCCTCTGGCCTCTGGGAGCTTGAGTGCTGATACCGTGCGGCACCTGGCCAAACCTAGCCTCTGTTTAACTCCTCAGGAAGAAATTTCAACTATTTGTCTTGGACCCTGCTGGGGACTGGTACTACCGCTGGCTCTTTGTCATTGCCATGCCCGTTCTCTACAACTGGTGCCTGCTGGTGGCTAGGTGAGCAGAAAGGGACCTCGGAGGGGGTAAACAAACCAGCACAGTGTATGGGCCCCAGGATTCAGAAACAAATCTGTTCCAGCTGTGGACACATAGCTCATGGCAAGCCACACCTCCCCCCGGGTTTCCCTGGCTGCCAATGGCACCTGTGTCTACCCTGTGAACCCCAACACTCTTCACTACTTAGTATGCCACCAGCCCTTCACTTCTGTCTTCCCAGTTCTGTGACCTGCTCCTGCTTCTTTGCGTATGTACTACTGCCCTACGTAAGACCACTCTGCTCTCCCCGATGCAGCTACAGCAGCCCCTCCATTCCTTGCAGGCACCCATTCCCCCTCCAGCACGACTACCACTCAGTGTAGAAATGGATTCAGTCACACCACTCACTCCATGGAGACCTTTCAGTGGCTCCCCATTGCCAACAGAATGAAGTTCAAGCCCTAAGGCTGGTCTTCAAAGCCCTCTCCCCCTACAGCATTCCCCACTCAACTCCATCCTTCAGCTCAGTCACTCATTCAGCAGGTTCTTCACTGAGCACTTAGTGGGTGCTAGGCTCTGTGCTCAGTGCTGGGGAGAACATGGTGAGCAAGGCAGGCATGGACTATGCTTTCGTGGAGCTCGAAGTCTAGTTGGGGACACCGACTGCAAACATGAAACAAGAGAAATGGCAAGACGATTCCAGGGTCTGGTGGCAGAGAACTGCTAGAAAGGGCAGCCAAGGCTTCTGAGGAGGCTAGGCCTACTTGGTGGGAGGAAGTCAGCTGCTTAGATACGTGAGGTTGGCAGAAGGGTTAGGCTGGGTGGAAGCAGCACATGCAAAGTCCTTGTGCTGGGCCATCAGGGTGGCAGGCACTGCTGGTCCTGCAGCATTTGGATGGGGATCTGGTGAATGTGCACCAGGAGGAACAGTCACATTTACAGTGATCACGGGTGTGTAAAGGGTGATCAAAATGTATGATGCATGTTTAAATTTAAAGAATTATGACAGTAAAAGCCACACTGCCATGAGTCCCCCTCAAAGTACTCCCTCTTTCTTCAAACACACTTATCCCTTCATTCTTCCCACTTTCTGAACCAGTTCTAGAGTCCTCTTTCCTGAGTGTCTTTACTAGGTGTGATCAGAAACACTGAATGCTGCTGCTCAGTGCCATCCAAAGGGAAAGCAAGCTCATGAAGACACTACACTGCGTCCTCATCCACCAACCATTCACTGAGTCTGGCACCATGCAACTTCTGGCTCTTCCCCAAAGCCAAATGACCAAGAAAGGGAAACATTTTTGAATCCATTCAGGACACTGAGGCAGCCACAGCAGCACATCTAAAGTCACTGAGGAAACAGGACTTCAGAACTGCTTTGAAACGTGGCAAGAACAATGGGATCAGTGTGTTGGAAGACAGGGAGATTCATGGCTATGTGGCTTTCTAATAAATGTGTTTTTAAAATTTAAACATTCACACCATATGTTTTAATCACTCCTTGCATGTAGAGTGATGGGCACAGAGGCTAGTCAGCAATGCACTGCAGTTTGTTCGTCAGATGAGTTATTCATTCTCTCAACTGACACCACTGAGCACTTGAGTCCTGGTGCCCAGGGCTGGGGATGGGCATGCGCTAATGACTGAGTTGGGATCTGCCTTCCTGCAGGTCATGGTCTAATGGATGAAGTAGGCCATAGTGACGCATAGGCGTGATGTCTGTGTAATTACAGTGGTGGAGGTAGGAGTTACCTGTTGTCTGCTTAGCACCAGGCTGACTGTGACTCGCTAGCGCCCCTGGTGGCCATTTTTAGCCTTGCACAAATAGGCACCCAGTTGGGCTCTCCAGGGAATGTTGGCAGACATTGAAGGTGAAACCAGCCATGTTCTCTTGCAGAGCCTGCTTCAGTGACCTCCAGAGGGGCTACTTCCTGGTGTGGCTGGTGCTGGACTACTTCTCAGACTTGATCTACATCGCGGACCTCTTCATCCGATTGCGCACAGGTCAGTGAGAAGCTGGGACGCACAGTTAGCAGTAGGACCCACAAGCCCAAAGACTTGAGTCTAAATTTTCAGGGAAACTACTGGACATGCTATTGGCCTCAACTGCTTGGCTGGGACTCCAATAGGTGACCGATTTGCTTTGAATCTCATGGTCTTGTGTGCTTCCAGAGGTTTGGGTCTGGGAGTGGTCTCCTGAGTTCTGTCTGGTCAGCCCTGCTATGTGAGCTCTATTCTTCGTTGGGAAGGAGGGCTAAGGGAGTAATTTGGTCCTTGCTGAGTGTGAACCTCTAGGGAGGGACATGCCTGGAGGCAGGGGTGACATACTGGCTTGTATGTCTACTAGGTTTCCTAGAGCAGGGGCTGCTGGTCAAAGATACCAAGAAACTTCGAGACAACTATATCCACACCCTGCAGTTCAAGCTGGACGTGGCCTCCGTCATCCCCACGGACCTGATCTATTTTGCTGTGGGAATCCATAACCCTGAGGTGCGCTTCAACCGCCTGCTACACTTTGCCCGCATGTTTGAGTTCTTTGACCGCACAGAGACACGTACCAGCTACCCCAACATCTTCCGCATCAGCAACCTGGTCCTCTATATCCTGGTCATCATCCACTGGAATGCTTGCATCTATTACGCCATCTCCAAGTCCATCGGCTTTGGGGTGGACACGTGGGTTTACCCCAACATCACTGACCCTGAGTATGGCTACCTGGCCAGGGAGTACATCTACTGCCTTTACTGGTCTACACTGACTCTCACCACCATTGGGGAGACACCACCCCCTGTAAAGGATGAAGAGTTCCTGTTCGTCATCTTTGACTTCCTGATCGGTGTCCTCATCTTTGCCACCATCGTGGGAAACGTGGGCTCCATGATCTCCAACATGAATGCCACACGGGCAGAATTCCAGGCCAAGATTGATGCCGTCAAACACTACATGCAGTTCCGCAAGGTTAGTAAGGAGATGGAAGCCAAGGTCATCAGGTGGTTTGACTACCTGTGGACCAATAAGAAGTCAGTAGATGAGCGGGAAGTCCTCAAGAACCTGCCGGCCAAACTCAGGGCCGAGATAGCTATCAACGTCCACCTGTCCACACTCAAGAAAGTGCGAATCTTCCAGGACTGCGAGGCTGGCCTGCTGGTGGAGCTGGTCCTGAAGCTTCGTCCTCAGGTCTTCAGCCCTGGGGATTACATCTGCCGCAAGGGGGACATTGGCAAGGAGATGTACATAATCAAGGAGGGCAAGTTGGCAGTGGTGGCTGATGATGGCATCACTCAATATGCCCTCCTCTCAGCTGGGAGCTGCTTTGGAGAGATCAGCATCCTTAACATTAAGGGCAGCAAGATGGGCAATCGGCGCACAGCCAACATCCGCAGCCTGGGCTACTCAGACCTCTTCTGCTTGTCCAAGGATGATCTTATGGAAGCGGTGACTGAGTACCCTGATGCCAAGAAGGTCTTAGAGGAGAGGGGCCGGGAGATCCTGATGAAAGAGGGGCTGCTGGACGAGAGTGAGGTGGCAGCCAGCATGGAGGTGGATGTTCAGGAGAAGCTAGAGCAGCTGGAGACGAACATGGAGACTTTGTATACCCGCTTTAGCCGCCTGCTGGCGGAGTACACAGGGGCCCAGCAGAAGCTGAAGCAGCGCATCACGGTCCTGGAGACCAAGGTGAGGCAGCATGAAGATGACTACTTTTCAGACGGGCTGAACAGCCCTGAGCCCGATGGCGAGGAGCAGCCATAAAGCTTGGGGCCCAGTGGCCCCTGCAGCCTTGCCTTGGCCTCAGATCTAGCCGAGCCTATAGGCCTCCAGACTCACACGCATGTTCTCCATTCTCCTGCCGCTAGGGTTCTCCCTAGAGTCTCTCTGAGGCTTTAGTTTTTGGCTGAACCACCCAAGAGTTGCCCTCCAAGTGTAGCTAAGAGCTGAGCTTGTGGACAGTGTGGATTGTTGCTGTGCTTCCGGGAGCTTCAGCTTGCCCAGTCTTAAAGAAGGAATAGAAGAGCAGCTGAGCTGTCCTGTCTCCAGGGAAAGCTTGGTCTGGGAAGCCTATGTGCAGCATGGCACACATGGTGCCTGCCTCCTGTGGACCACTGGGCTTTGTTGACTGGTCTGTCTGTCTGCCTGCCTGCCTGCCAGCTGGGAGTGGGGGTTCTGCAGTCTTCTCTGGGGCAGAAGGATGATGAGGTTTTGGCTTCTGGTCTATTCCAAAACAGGAGATAAGGAACAAGACTACTGATAAGCGCCCAGCCTGCCATGCTACCTGGCTGCTTTGGCCACCACTCCTAAGGGCAGGGCGTTTCTGAAGAGTTCTTGAAAGTTGGCAGTGGGTGGGAGACTTCAAGTCAATATGTGCATTAGGGGCACTTACAAGTTAGTAAATCTCTTCGAACTCTGAGCAGTATGCATTGCTCCACTCTGTATTTACTTTCTCTTCTTCCCTCCATTAATCCTTCCTCACCCACCCCCCACTCTTTCTGCCTGGCGTACTTTGTGCCATCCTCCCCTGCCTGTGCAAACACTGGTGGTACTTTAGGACAGCCCTGGCACTGGCTCCTTGGAGAAGGCCCTCACCTATACCCACCACTTCCCTGGGAGGCAGACAATCACCCCCATCTCCAGGCTGCCACGTTGCCCAGGAGCCTCCTTGTCCTGATTCTTGTTAATCTCTGGAAGGGACGCTTCTCCACTGGACTGTGGGCTCTCTGAGGGCCAGGCCACCATAGCCTCCCACCCACGTTGCTCTCTGCAGCCTCAGCCGTATGTCTGGCCCAGAAGAGCCACCGAGAGATGTGAACACTGAGTGAAGTGAGTGAGTGAGTGAGCGAACTGACACAACTGACCTAGATGCATGTGCTTCCACCTGTCAGCAGCCAGGTCCTGCAGGAAGCACTGGCTTTGCCCGGGGAAGCCTCCTGGAGGTCATGAGGTGATCAGGAGGCTGAGGGACCTGTGCTGGCTTGTGGGCAAGAAGGTCAAGCTGCAGACTCCTGTGCCTTCACCTTCATGCACAATATTCATTCATTCATTCACTGTGGTAAAACCCACATAAATTTTCTTCTTCACCATTTTAAGAATCTAGTTCAATAGTGTTAAGTATATTTGCATTATCAAATACATGAAAAAATGTTCACCATCTTTTGCCATTAGAGGAATGCACATTAAAACAACACTGAGGTTCCATCTCACTGCAGAAAAAATGGCTCTCATCAAGGCATCAAATAATAACAGATGCTGGTGAGGCTGTTGGTGGGAGTGAGACTGGTGTAACCACTAGGGGGATCAGTGTGGAAAGTCCTCAGAAAACTAAAAGTAGAAATTCTTCTTGTCTCAGCTATTCCCTTTCTAGGTACCTTCCTCCAAGAGTGAAAGACATCATATCACAGTGATGCATGCACATCCATGCTTATAGCAGCACAACTCATAATAGCTAAATCTCAGATGTGGTCTATATGTTCATCAACAAATGAGTGCATAAAGAAAATGTATTTGCATGCAATGGAGTACTATTCTGCCACAAAGAAGGATAAACGAGTCGTTTGTAGGAAAATGGATGCACCTTGAGATGCTAAGTAAATTAAATCAGACACATAAGCTTAAATATTGAATAGTTTCTCTTACATGAGAAACCCAAAATATAAGTAAATTAAAGAGCAACATAAAAGATAATAGGAAACCGCGACATAGATCTTTGGCAAAAGGGAAGGGGACCGAGGGATGGAGGGAGGGGGGAGGGAGAGGAGGGAAAGGGGATGAAAAAAGAATTAAGATGGGTTATGTATGTGCACCAGTGCTCCACGAGGAATGTGATCAGTGTGCACTGCAAACATGGGCGAATAAAAATAAGAATGAAGAAGTATATTCACATTGCCATGAAATCTATCTCCAACCCTTTCTCATCTCACAAGGCCAAACCTCTGTTCCCCTTAAACAGCTCCTTGCCCCTCCCCCATCTCACTACTCTAGGAACATCATAGAAATGGAAACACCTGCTGATCCTGCTGATCTTTGTTTCTGGCTTAGTTCACTTGGCATACCACTGCCAATACCCATCCAGGTGGTAGGCCCCATTGGAATTCTGTCAGAGTTCCTTTCCCTTTTAGGGCTGAATATGATTCCCTGTGTTGATGGACACTTGGGCAATTTTATGATTTCTGTCTGTTTAAATACTCCTGCTATAAACATAGCTACACAAATATCTCATTTGCTTTCCATTCTTTTGGCTATATACCCAGAAATGGAGTTGCTGGATCCTTTGATAATTCTACTTGTAAGTTTTGGAAGAACTGCCAGACCGTTTTCCAGAGGGGCTCCACCATTTTGCAGTTCACCACCAGAACACAAGTTTCCTCATTTCTCTACATCCTCATCAACATTCCTCGTTTTTTGGTGTTTTTACAGTAGCCGACCTAACTGGTGTGAGATGATAACTTACTGTGGCCTTGACTTGCTTTTTTCTGATGGGTCATGATTTGGGGCATACAGTCACGTGCTTGCTGGCCGTCTGTGCATCTTCTTTGGAGAAATGTCCATTCGAGTTCTTCAACCATTTTAACAGAGCTGAGTTGCAGGAGTTCATTAAACACTGCGGTTATAACCCTCTTACCAGGTATGATTGGAGAACATGTCAGCCCATTCCACAGCTTGCTTCTTCACGCCATTGACTGTGCCCTTTGATGCACAGAAGCTTTTGCTTTTATTGCAGTCCAGTTTGTTAGTTTTTCCCTTGCATTGCTTGTGCTATTGGTGTCACTAGGTATTTTTATGTGAATTCATTCTTCTAGCCAGACTTCTTAGGAATGCAGTGTCATTTCCTGGCCCATCCTTAGCTTATGGTAATGTGTCCACCAGGGGAAACCTCACTCAAGGGGGTCTGTGACACCTCAGGCCCACGTTATGGTCCCTGGAGTGGTAGCGGCACGAGATGGCATTCATGATGGGCTAGTGCTCTGTGCTTGCGCTTCCTTTGGGTATCAGGATGGAAGAGAAGCCTCTAAGCCCTTTCACCTCAAGAGGCCCAGCCAACAGGAGGAGAAGTCCTTGGGGACTCAGGCGGCTGCTTGCTAAGATGCTTGTTGCTAAGGTTGCATCAAGGAGTTCATTTTTCACCAAGTGCTGGAACCTGCAAGAGTTGTTATTTTTGCAGACTTAGGTTGGCACCGGGGCCAGGGCCGGGAGCATGACTGCATTGCACATGTTTGCCTTGGTTTTAGCAAGAGCTCTGTCATATTGCTCCCTGGAGCCTGGCTCACCCTCAGTGCAGCCCCTCAAAGGAAGTCCTCTTCCCAGCCCACATCACAGGGTGCACAATGAGTCTCGAAGCTGCTTTTCCCTGTGCAAAGCAGGTGTCCCTCTGGGTCCCAGACTTCAGGGCTCAGCTCCACCCTCTCCCTAACGCCCCTTTTCCCAGATATCTTCGGGTCCAATTTCCACAACCTTTTGCTGTGCCCCGAATGTCTATCTCCAGTGACCTGGAGAGAGAGTGTGTGCCTTGTGCCTTGTGTAGGTGCACATCCGTGGATGATGTGGGTACCCGTGTGAGGCCCTAGATGTCAGCCACCACAGGCAGGATCTGTTTCTGACCAGCCCCCCCCCCCCTCCCTCTCAGCAGCTCTCTCCACAGGAGCAGGAGCGTGACTCTGCCGGTTGCTGGCCACCGCCCCCGTCTCTCTTCTGTAACTGGCTGTAATGTAAGAACTGAAGTACATTTTCCATTATGTGTTGTATTTATGCGGCACAGCCTGATGTTCTCTGCTCTTAATTTTAAAATGTTTAAATTGGAATGCTTTTTATTTTCCTTTGAATATACCCACAGGGAGTAAATTGCCCTATTTGTATACGGCCGCCAATTCGCTTTTCTCTGCCTTGGTGACCTTTATAGGAAACAAAAGCCTGTGTTCCCATCCACCGCTCACCCTCTCCTTTGGCCCTTTACCTTGGCGGCCCGTGTGGCTTACAGGCTGCCATCCCTGTTCTAATCTGGCCTAAATTCCAGACTCAGCAGCACTGACTTGTTTCTTGGTTTGGAGCTTAAGGTAGTCTGGCCACTTGTTCCCTATTTACTCTGGAAACAAAGCCCCCGGAAACCATAGATGAGGAACCCGCCCACCAGAGGGCGCATGGACCTCAGGAAAGTGCAGTGGGCTCTCCTTTGTGACTCCCCCTACCAAGCAAGGGACTGAGCAGGGTCTGCTGGGCAGTCGGGTGGATGTCCCCAAGACTGGGAGAGCTGTTGGGCTAGGCTATCTCCAACCAATGCCTCAGGATTTCCCAAGTGTAGAAGCCAATGGCGCCATCCATGCTAGGTGCCCAGACCCTCCTGGAGGATGGGGAAGGAAGAAATGTTGCAGTTGAATTCCAAGGGGACCTGGGCACTATGGTCGTCATTACTTTTTTGCATGTGTGTTCAGGAAAATATACTAGTAGTCTGCAAAACCCACTGAGCTAAAGTAAAACATGAGCATATTTGAAGTTGATGGAAAGAAATTTATTATGTAAATGATTTTTCCAGTCCTACATAAAGGCAGTAAAAATGATGGTATATATCCAACTAGCTACTTGACACCACCATGGAGCTTCAAAATTAGCATCATTATAGCTCACTTCCTGAGCACTTTTCTCCCAAGCCTGCTCATCCTCACCACATTGGCCAAACCCACTGCAGTCATCCTGGATTCTTTTTCCTTCACCCACCACTTTCAGTCACCCAGGAAATGTTGTAGGCATGCACCTCTCCCAGCTCCACTGCCCCTACCTCAGCCCTGGACAGCTGGTCACCTCTGGAGTGATGTCCTGGCTCCAGCCCTTGCCCCTGTGACCCATTCCCCAGCTGCCCACCAGAGATTTAAACATGAAAAACACATTTCATCACTCCTCTGCTTGAAACCTCCTGGTAGTTTTCCATGACTCTAGGAGAAGATTCACTCATGCCTGTGGTCCCCAGGTCCTGTCCAGTAGATTCTGTGCTGGTCCCCTCTTGTCCTCAGCCCGCTTCTCTCTTCCTGTCTCAGTGGCCTCATACTTGCTGTCCTGACTCGTCCTCCTCTGGGTCTTGCTGTGGCTGACACCTTGTCTTCAGGACTGCAAAGGACCCCTCAGAGAGCGCCCCATTGCCAGAGCCCCAGCCCCTCAGTGGCTCCCCACAGCACTTCTCACTCCCCCAGTCATTTTGTGTGTCTGTTTCCAGTGCACTGTCCCCTTCCCTCTTTAGACTATCCACGCCCTGAGGTAGAGATCTTTTCCAAGAGCTCTTCTGAATCCCCAGTACTTAGAGCAGCGATGGACATGGCATAGCATCCTTTAAATGGCAAATGTTGGGGGCACCACAATGGCTGGCTTCCTTCTCGGCCTCACCCCACTGCCAGTTCTCACAGCCCTGGTTGTTCTGCAGCCTACCTTCTAGAGCTTATCTGTTTGTGGCTCTCCTAGTCCCTGTTCCTTGAGCTCAGGTCTGTGAGTGGGATTCATCCTGCCCATCGGTAGCTAACGTTACCTGCAGAGGGAGGTCGTGTGTGTGTGTGTGTGTGTGTGTGTGTGTGTGTGTGTGTGTGTGTATACTTGGCCCTAGAGGGCTCTGCTGAAAGCAGAGCTTCTTGCCCTGAATAGGGATCTGGAGTAGGCAGGCACGGGCCCCATCTGGCCCAACAGGAGGAGGGATATACCATTCTAGCTGTGGGTTCAGTTGCAGTCACCTTCCCCTGGCAGGAACTGAGCTGCCAAATACTAAGTGATTTCACTTCTCTCTGAGGCAGACGTTCTCCTGAAAGGACAATCTAGTCCTGATTTAGGGCCTGATACCAAGCCAGGTACAACTAGCCCCGATGGGGAGGGCATTGAAGATGCATTTGTTTTAGCTAACAGCTTTGTTAAGTGCAGGTCCAAATAAACCTCGGCACTGTGGCTGGGGCCTGGGCGGGACACTGGGCTGGAAGACCTGTAACCTGATGACAGTCAGGTGGCAGTTCCATTCCATTTCCGGTTGCTAGGGACTTTGCTAGAAATAGCATAGAAGAGCAGTTGGAGAAGGGAGCATTATCTTCGTATCCAATGAAACCGTCTTTCTTTTATTTTTTTCCCCTTAAGTTTATTGGTACATTTTCGGTATAAAATACAGTTACATTCATCATTGGGATCTTGTACCATTACATGAGTATCTTGGTTCTTATTTTTTTCCCCTTCCCTTGCCCTCCCTTCACCCCCTCAACCCTTCCTTATTTGCATAGACTTTGTTTCCATTGTTTTTCCTTTTCTCATATTTTTTCCTTTCCCTTTTTTTCCCTTCCCCTACCCCTCCCAATTCCCCTGCACCTTTAAACCTTTTCTTCCTGTTACACAATATCAATTATACATTTTAAAAATTACA